AAGCAAGATTCTGACTGCTATGGTATGTGAAGGCACCATTGACTGTCTCGCTAATGCATATGTGGTAACTCTTCTTCCACCATGATTTGTTTTCAAAACTTAATAAATTGTCGTTATAAGAAAATATCTATCATTTCTATAAATTTAACGTTACATCATTTTATATAAAAAAAAAAATCCAGGCAGTAAATATTCATGGCAGTACAAGAATTTCAGCTTTTGGTATTTTAGCTGGTATCAAAACAATTGCTGGACTTTTTGGAACATTAGTCGCTCGTTTTCTACCCATAGCTTTGACTTTTCAGGTATATTTTCATCACCAAAAATCAACACATTGAAGTTAAATTCTCAAGTGATACAAAATCAATTATTATTTTTTCTTGGATTAATTAGGTTTCTGCTATATCATTTCTCGTTGGCCTAGTGTACATGAGAATTTTCCTAACAGAAAAGCTAAACGATGATGATCATCATCGAGGTACGTATCATCAAGAGGATCATGATAGTATTAATGCCACAATGTTAGCAGAGCCGATTCTGAACGAGACACCCATAAAAACACAAGTCTTTCACAAGAAATATTCTTCATTGAAAGATATGATCAGCTTGATGAAGACTAGGTATATCTATATGCCTTTGTTTTTATATTTACATATATGTACTCATATATTATTATTCGAAATGATGGATATGTGTTTGATAATGCAGCACCATATTCTTTCAAGCATTGGTTGTTACATTCTTCAGCAGTTTTTCAGATAGTGGAATGGAGTCTGCTTTCTTGGTTAAGCTTATATATTATTTACTCCTTATTTTACATATATAAATTTTCTATTTTAATGAAATAATACGTATGATTTTCATATAATTATGCAGTACTTTTTGAAAGCACGTTTTGGATTTGACAAGAAACAGTTTGCTGATCTCCTGCTGTTGATTACCATCGTTGGGTCTATCTCTCAAGTAAATAAATTACGAAGGATTATGTGTAGATATTATTGTATAAACATAGCATTAATTTATACTTTAATATATGAATAAATTTAGTACGTTAATTGATTATTGGTAAGACGAAAAAAAAAAAAAAAAAAAAATTGATTATTGGTAAATATTTTCTCAGTTGTTTGTACTGCCAAGATTTGCATCTGCCATTGGAGAACGCAAGCTTTTATCAACAGGGCTTTTTATAGAATTCATAAACGTAAGCATATTTATTTTCTGACTTATGCTTCTATTGACACCTTAAATAATCGATCTTGTTATACAGAAATAATGAAATGGTGTATATTGGGGTTTGTGATGCAGATGGCCATTGTCAGCATTTCTTGGGCACCATGGGTGAGTCAGTCAAAACTAGGGACCTAATTCAATGTTTCATCTCAATATGATTTACTTTGTTTTTTGTTTTTTTCGATTTCGCAGGTTCCTTATCTCACCATTCTGTTTGTACCTGGAGCCTTATTTGTGATGCCATCGGTAATTTGACATAGTTATTAGTTAGTCATTACTGCTTTGCTATTTAATAAAGTTTGTAAGGAATCTTACATTGAAAATGAAATAAGACCTAGAGTAATATATAATGTATTGGAAATAATATCTCACATCGAATATTAGGCAAGAATCTTAATTCTTAATTGATAAATAATGATGAATGGATATAATAGCATGGACAATACTTTCATTCTCTAATGGTTATGAATTTGATGTCAAAAAAATTTAAAAGTTTGAACATTTTCGGCTGCAGGTTTGTGGTATTGCCTCAAGACAAGTTGGACCTGGTGAACAGGTAAAAGCTAGTTTATTGTTATTTTTTTTAATTTTTTTTCGCCAAACACTATTTCATTAAGTTATCGGGCGAAGACTCTCTTCTTGAGAGAGACAATCCGAAACCAATGTAGCTATTTTATTGTTATAAATATTGAATATTGGTATTTGATTTTTGTTGTATAAACATGTATACAAAAGAAAAGAAAAAAAAGCACACAAACTATTGTTTGAACTGATGTAGGGAAAAGTGCAAGGATGCATATCTGGAGTGAGGTCCTTCGGCAAAGTGGTGGCACCATTTGTGTTCAGTCCATTGACAGGTTTGTAAGGCCGCAAGGACAGAAATTACTGCTAATTAAGTTTCATTCATATCTTTTGACACATTTAATATATTGGTTCCATGTATATAGCCTTGTTTCTTTCGGACAATGCACCGTTCTATTTCCCTGGATTCAGCCTTCTTTGCATCTCCTTGTCGTCGGTACGTATAAACATCTCACCCATCAAGACTACCTTTGATTTGATTTTGTATGAATTATGATGGATCAAGATGTTTTGCATTCGCATGCAGTTGATCGGGTTCTTTCAGAGTCTACTGATTAAAGATGTTCCTACTCCACCCTTAAACAAAGCAATCAACAAAACATCAGGAGAAGAAGTGTGATTATATGAATTCATCATGTATAAATTAAAGAGAAGAGTGTATATATGGCCTTGTAGCTTGTGACATAAATATATATGTAATTGATATATTCAAAGCATGATCATAACTTCATGTGATCATTTGTTTTTTCTAAACATGTTCAAGTCCTGCTTATCTGAGATCACAAATTGCAATGATTAAGAAAAAGTTTAGAACATGAGTCACAAAAAAAAAAAACTTTAATTTCAATTAAAAAAAGGATTTTCAAAAATTGAATTGGTCTATAATATAGAATATAGATTTAAACATTTAACGGAATTAAGCTGTTTTAGCTAGGCATCATTGGGCGCTCTTAGGGGATTCTAGGCGCTTCTACAAAATTGTTAATCCATTATCAATTTGTTATCTTATTTATATTATTTTGTTTGTTTGAGTCAATGAGTGTTTCCTTCTAATGTTATAAGTTAAACTAAACTATTTAAAGATGACACTGTGGTGCACAAAAAAAGAAAAGAAAAGATGACACTGTTAACTGATCTGTTAATCTGGAGAACATATATAGATTAATGAAAAAACGTTTTATGATTTAGAAACTAACTAGGATATGACCCGCGGGTTACAATATTTAATTAATTTTATAATTTTGCTGAATTTGTTGTGTATAATATTTTTTGTTGTACACCGCGGATCAATTGTTTTTAACTAAATTATTTAAATTATATAAATTTTGTTTAGTATTTAAAATTATATAATTATATTTTAATTACACGGTGAATGATACAAAAGAAAAAAGTATAAAAGTTATTTATGTGTTTTACCTTGTAGTCACTCAAGATTTTGAAGTAAAAGAGATTTGGGAGTTTTCACTACAATGTTGAACATGGCAAATCATCATTTGTTTGTATTTATCTTTTAGGATCATCTGCACAAAACATCAAATGTTTAGCATATTAAGAAAATATAAAACATGAAGTTCATATAACAAAAAAGCAGAAACATATAAAAAAACTTAATAAGTATTACTATTGTACTATTTCACGGAAATAAAAAAAGGTTTAAAGAATTTAGTTGCCAAAAAAGTGTGTTGATGAATGAAATGGATGTTGTCTATATGTAGGAATCATATTAGTTAGGGCTTCCTAAATCTTTGTCTTTTTTAAAATTAAATCAATAAAATTTTTGGAAATCTTTAGAATTATTCGTGTGAAAAAATGTAAAATAGATTGATTTTAAGAATATTCTAATTGTGTTCCTAATTTAAATTTTTGGATAAGATTTTTCAATTTATTAGGTTGTTTGAAATTGGTGATAAGATAAAGATTATGAAAAGAGATATTTAAAACCACAAAACTTGCAGAAGAGGAGTATTAGATAAGAAAATAGATTTGGTTTGTTTTGATTTAAAAATATTTAGCCTTGATTAAATGAGCGATATTTACTAATAACTACATATATATACGAAATCATCATTTTGATTCGTTAGAATTTTTTTAGGAAAGTCTCATATTATGTGGATCCGAAAGATTTATTTACGGGCCAAAATCCGGGTCAAATTCCAGGCCAAAATTAAAAAAAAAAAAAACCGATCCCATTGGATTCCTTAAAATATACTTAAAAAATGTTAAGTTGATTGTTTAGGTAATCTTTGACAAACCCGTAATTAATTGAATTGATATGATCTTATTGTTTAAGTAATATTTGAAAACCTGGTTTGATTACCCATTGATCCCCGTGATTAAAATGAATGACGTGGATTAATTATATTTATGATTAGAAATTTGTAATGGAAAGATTAAAATAAATGACGATTAATTATGTTTATGATTAGAGATTTGTAATGACATATATTGTAATTTCTTACAATTCTCAATAGGGCTGGGCACAAGTACTCGTTACTCGTCCCGTACCCGTTACTTACCTCGTACACGCCTTGAAAAAACAAGTACCCGTTGTTGTCAAGCAAAGTACCAAGTAGTATAATTTAGATACTTGCAAGTACAAGTCAAGCAACAAGTAATGGAAAAAATATTAATACTCGGCTTGTTTAACCCGTTACTCGTTATTATTTTACTATTTTATATACATATATTTCATATTCTATTAGTTTTAAGAACATAATTAAAAGTTACATCAAAAGTAAAGTAAAATTTAAATATGTAAAAATTTTGAAAGTGTTCCTTGCAAATTACTTGCAAGTAATTCGTAAATACTTGCACGTAATTCGTAAATACTTGCAAGTAACTCGCAAGTAGTAAGTAATAAGGCAAGGCAAGTAACTCGCAAGTCGCTCATTTTTTAGCAAGTACTCGAAATTACAAGTACTCCTTTTCAACAAGTCAAGCACAAGTACTAATTTTTATTACTCGTACAAGGCAAGCCAAGTAATAAGTATCGATAAAAGAGCAAGTACTCGCCTTGTGTCCACCCCTAATTCTCAATGTTACTTCCCAAATAATAGTATATTATGATGTTGGAATTATGATCCCTTGCTTTATGAAAAAAAAAAAGTGATTGATTTTCGAGAGTCATTTTCTCCTCTGCCACAAAAAAACAACCTCATTACTAATAATATCATTAGTTTCTATTCCATAAAGTTTTTCTATAACACAAGTTTATGATCTCTTATTTGCTTTCACCTTCATATATATACAACACCATCATACTAAAACACAGTTTGCTGTCTCTCATGCACCTAAGATAACAGATTTTACACTCAAAATGTTTTATCCACTGAAAGAAAAGGCACACTCATCATCTCTAATTACCCTGAATCAGGGTTTTGTGACCAGCCAGGTGGAACTCTGCTCGAGACAACTGTTGGCATGGTTTTGACATTAATGTCAAGTGGATGAAACCGGTACTGAATATCGAGTTCGAGGAGGATTTTGATTACTTCCTCGACCAACAAGGCTCTTCTTGTGAATCTCTCTCCCATGTTTTGATGGTTAATTTTATGACACAGCCAAATTGCTATCCTCACAATGTTCAAGTCTTCCACATCTTTTACAATGATATCAGCTTTTGGATACCAATACTCTGGCTTGCTATCAATGTAGCTGCGGTTTTCGCGAAAAAAAAGATCATCAACATCCCGTCATAAATTATTAAGACACTAGGACAAGTGCGGCGTTTTCTTACCTCGATATTCTTTGTTTGATTGCAGCAATCTTTTCAGGAGGAGTAGTAATGTGGACACAGCATGTAACTTCATCTCCCATGTCCGGACTACGGTGGTAATTGTGTATTGCTTTCTGCCACAGAAGAATATTCGGATACACAATCTTCAGATTGTCAGCTCTCAAAAACACTGTTGTCAGAATGTTCATTTCCTCCACCACCATCTGCAATTTGATCTTGTTAAGATACCTTATAAGATTAATTAAATAGACTCAAAACACACATATTGGTGTTTTAGTACCTCTACAGTGTCGATTAGTAACCGATCACCAACATCGTAAGGGTGAATGATGAAGAGGAAGATGATGGACTCGAAGACGGTCTTGAGAGAGTTCCCAAACATGAAGGCTAAGAGTACAACTTGTGAAGTTAAAAAGAGAAGATACTTGGAAGTGGCGATTTCAAGAAGGATTAACCATATGACTATGATGACAATGGCAGTGAGAAAACTAATCATATGATGTAGTTTGTTCACTGCTGTTTTGGTGTCATTGAGTGTCAAGGCAAGTGCTCTTCGCTCTCTGAAAGCATTGACCTAATTAAGCAGAATCAACACTTTAGTGACAATATATACATATATAATCAGAAGAATAAAAACTTATTTTCTATGAAGAAGAAGTACCAGCCAGTTCTTCAAGGCTGATTTGGTAATCTTTTTGGTCAGTAATGCACCTTCGAAGAGACACATTGTCTTCATCGCCTCGTCTACTCGCAGAAATCTCATTAAGTCCTCCAGGTAGATGTGTCTTTTTAACATTCAGATTATGGATTTATTAGGTCTTAAGAAAGAAATTTTGTAAAAAGAAAGATGAGAAATTGTAGACTCACTTTGTACCAGGTTGAGCTACGTTCTTGAAAATCTTTCTTGCAGCTGCTTTAGCTTCTTTTTCGCTACGTATCTGTCGGGTGGATTCATCTTCAGATGTGTTTTGAAGCGCTTGTTCGTCCAATGTAGTCAGCGAAACATTTCTCACAATCTTCATCAGCCTTTTCATGTTCCATGCTGAAACGTTTTTCTGATTCATTTTGTTCAAATCATCCATTGTGATTCCATTATCAGTTCCCGTCTTTGGGATGATTGGAGAGAACTTTGTATTCATTGTACTCCCGCTTTTTTCCTGAGGAAACGCAGCGGAACAAAGTTCGGGTGATAAGTCGGCTCCTCCTTTCTGCATCTTGAGGATCTCTTCTTGCGCCCGATCTTCCTCTTCCTCAATCCTGCTCAACTCAAGCATTGGAGGTCCAGATAACGTCTCAATCAAGTAATGATGAAACAGAGCTTCTTGAATCCGATCAAAATAGGTACTAACGTGGAACGAAGAAGCTAGAACTTTCACCACCAGTGTCTTGATCAGCCACAAGACGGTGCTCAACAAGAAACACACCAAGATTTTGGACACGAGAAGAAGAACATCGCTCTGTGTTTCCCTTTCTACTTTCTTGTCAAACAAGAAATGCCAAGCGAGAAGCACAAGGCCGAGCCAGAGACAGTTCTGAACAGCCGTCTTCACACCGTACACGAAGTAAAGAACCCGTTTCCTCAACAAGAAGTTTCTTTCGATAAAGAAGACAATAATTCTTATTCCGCATCCCGAAACCAGCCTCCCGCAGATAAGAACCAGCAAGACCACTTCCCATTTCCACAGATGAAGGCTCCAAATAGTTGCATTTCTCCAGGTATGAAGCGCTAGACTCAACACTAACGCAACTACTAATGCGATCAAGCTCAGCCATTGAAGCAACGTTATAGCGTCCATTTTCAACCTTCGATATTCTTGTGGAACATCTTCCTCAGCTAATGAATCATCTTCTTCCTCAATATCATCTGATTGTCTCCCAAGTAAACCGGATCTTAACTGATCCGATGTCCCGATCCAACTCGAATACTGTTGTTCCTCTTCTTGTGGCGGATCTATCAACCTCGATCTCGCCTTCGCCCTCGAAACCAGCTCTGATTTCCTCATCGATGAACATCTTACAACTACTTCTCCTTCCTCTTCCAACTGCTGCTCTAAATTCATCCGCATTGTCGCCGAAGAAAAAGAAGTTGAAGACGTACAAGAACGTACCGAACCAGACATATTATTGGTTCCTGAACTGTTGATTTTGAAAGAGACTCTCGTTTCTTTCGAACCAGACATATTGTTGTTGTTGCTTATATCCTCTGTTTCCTCTGTTTCGTCGTTCACATCGAGTGTGATCTCCTCACGGAATTGCGGGAAATCGAAACTCCCGCTTTTTCGGTTTCGCAAGTGATCATCGGGTGCAATGTCTTCCCAGAACTTGTAGCTATGTCCATCAAAGCTAGAACCAGAGCTCTGAGTTTTAGCAATGTGGTTAGTATGATCGTCTTCATCGTCAAGAACCGAGAGTTTCTTCTTCTTCTTCTTCGTCTTCTCGGTTTGATCTCCCGTGCTTATAATCTGTTTATACGAGCTATGAGAATTAAAGGGTTGTCGAAAATCCATCGGAAATTTTTTTTTACAAAATTTAGAATCTTTAGAAAATGAAACAGAAACTATGAAGATGATGAATTAGTACACAAAGGTTACGTTATAGTTTGAAAAGAAGAGTTACGAGTATTATTATTTTGTTCTCTGTTACTTAACTTACTAACAATTATAATTTGGTTTAGGAGTTATTAAAACCACTATGAGTTGGATAATGACTTAATATAGCAATTAATTCGTCATTTGAGAAACGATCACTAAATTTAATGAATGTGTTTTACACATCTCACGTTCTAATTTTGGTCTTTGATTGTTTTCGTTATAGGGTGGGCACATTCATTAACATTTAACAACACCCAACACAACATTTCTTTTAGTCATTTCGTCGAATACTTTGCGTGCATGGCTTATTGTTCATGTTTCTCTCGTTCTTATCGTCATCATTAACAAGGTTTGACTTGGGGTTTTGATTCTTTTCTTTATTTTCTGAATCATCATTGTTAGATTATATTACATAGATCTTATAGCTTTGCTCAATAAGCAAGAACTAACTTGGTTATTGACTAATGATTCAATGTGTAAATGAGATTAGGCTTAAGTTTGAATTAGGGAAGATTAATTCAGAGATTATAGTTGTTACTTAATCCTAAGCACATGTAATGTAAGAGTAGAGTCATAGATGCTTAATTAATTGGTGAAGAACTCTTGAATTTTTTTTTTAGATGTCAAAATTGTGGTTATAGGAACTAATTAATTAGATTAATGTTTGTTTGGTTACAAAATTGTTGACTCGTTTGAGGCAAAAAGAAATAAACATCAACCTCTGTTGGGTTGTTCATCAAAATTTCAGGCAGGTTGGTTTTGTGACCAGCCAGGTGGAACTCTGCTAGAGACAACGGTAGGCATTGTTCGTACATTGATATCGAGTGGATAAAACCGGTGTTGAATGTCGAGTTCGAGGAGGATCTTAATCACTTCTTCGACTAAGACGGCTCTTCTTGTCCATCTTTCAGCCATGTCTTGGTGATTAATCCTGTGACATGGCCATATTGCTAGTCTTACTATGTGCAAATCTTCCAAATCTTTTACAATGATTTTGGCTTGTGGGTACCAATACTCTGGCTTGTTGTCGATGTAGCTACATTGCGGTAAGTTAGTTAGCATACCGGTATAAAAACGCGCATAAGCATTAAATGGGTAAGTCTTACTTTGATATTCTCTGCTTGATCACGGCGATCTTTTCAAGAGGAGTAGTAATGTGGACACAAAACTCGATTGCATCTCCCATGTCCGGACTGCGGTAGTAATTGTTGATTGATTTTTGCCACAAAAGACTATTCGGATACATAATCTTTAGATTGTCGTATCTCAAGAACACCGTAGTGAGTATGTTCATCTCCTCCACCACCAACTGGATTTCATTTCATTAACCTTTTGTTAGCCAATTAATAAGATTCTTGCGGGTTACATTGCAAAGGCACATGCACATACCTGTACACTGTCAATCTCACAGCGATCACCAACATCGTAAGGGTGTACAATGAATAAGAAGATGATGGACTCGAAGACGGTCTTGACAGTGTTCCCAAAGATGAAGGCCAAGAGTACAACTTGTGAACTTACAAATAGAAGTACCTTGGAGGAAGCAATTTCAAGAAGGACAAGCCATATGACAACAATGACAATGGCAGTGACAATATTAATCATGTGATGGAGCTTGTTCACTGCTGTCTTGGTGTCGTTGAGTGTCAGGGCAAGAGCTCGTCGCTCTCTGAAAGCATTGACCTAATCAAAGTCAACAACGGAGTGATATATATACACAGCAGAAATTAATCTGGTGAATCTTTTTCTAGTAAGGTCAATGCAGAAAATTAACAATTACCAGCCAGTTCTTTAAGGCTGATTTGCTAATCCTTTTGGTCTCCGGTGCACCTTCGAAGAGGCCCATGGTCTTCATCGCCTCGTCTTCCCGCAAAAATCTCATCAAATCCTCTAGGTAAATGTACCTTTTGTCATTCAGATGAGTTTATTAGTGAAACTAAAATTGGATTCTAATAATGAAAGTAATTGTAAATGTAGACTCACTTTGCGCCACGTTGCTCAACGTTCTTGAAAATCTTCCTTGCCGCTGCTTTTGCTTCTTTTTCGCTTCGTATCTGGCGGGTGGATTCATCTTCGTATGTGCTTTCCAGCATCTGTTCGTCCAATGTGGTGAGGGAAACATTTCTCACAATCTTCATTAGCCTTTTCATGTTCCAAGCTGAGATGTTCTTATGATTCATCCTGTGAAGGTGTTCCATGCTGATTCCGTTATCAGTTGTGGTTTTCGGGATGATCGGGGAGAGCTTCGGATTCAACACTCGCCCGCTTTTACCAGGTGGAAACGCAGCCGCGCAAAGATCAGGAGGTAAATTAGCACCCGCGTTCTGCATCTTGAATATCTCATCTTGCGCACGCTCTTCCTCTTCTTCAATCCTGCTCATTTCAAGCATGGGAGGACCCGATAACGTCTCGATCACATACTGGTTAAACAACGCTTCTTGAATCCGATCAAAGTAAGTACTGACGTGGAAAGAAGAGGCTAGAACTTTAACCACTAGTGTCTTGATCAACCACAAGATAGTGCTTAACAAGAAACACACCAAGATTTTAGTAACGTAAGGAAGAAACCTGCTCCTTGTCTCTCTTTGAACTTTCTTATCGAACAAGAAATGCCAAGCGAGAAGAACTAGGCCGAGCCAGAGGCAATTCTGAACAGCTCTACGCACACCGTATACGAAGTAAAGAACACGTTTTCGCAAAAGGAAGTTTCTCTCGATGAAGAAGACAACAATTCGGATTCCCCAACCCGAAACCAACCTCCCACATATAAGAACCAGCAAAAACACTTCCCATTTCCATAAGTGAAGGTTCCAAACTCTAACTTTCTTCCAAGACTGAATCGATAAACTACACGCCAATGCAGCTATAATAGCGATTAAGCTAAGCCACTGGAGCAATGTAATGGCGTCAAGCTTCCCTCTTTTATACTCATCTGGTACATCTTCTTCCGCTAATGGATCATCCTCTTCATCAATATCACCAAGTAACCCGGATTTCAACTGACCCGATCTCCAACCCGAGTAAGGGGTCTCTTCCTCACGTGGCGGATCTTGAAGCCTAGACCTTGTCTTAACTCTCGAAATAAGCTCTGATTTCCTCTGAAACGACATGTTCGAAGTACATCTAACAACCTCATCCTCCTGCTGTTGCGGCTGCTCCTGATTCGTCCGCATTGTAGCGGACGAAGAAGTAGTCGAATGAGAAGACGAAGAAGGAACCGAACCAGCAACAAACGTACCACCCGCTCTACGAACGTTAAAAGAGACTCTCAATTCTCTAGACGCATCAAACGAGGTTCGAGCCGTTGATGTAGGCGTAGGCATTGTCTGGTGACTTACATCATCATTTTCTTGATCAACATCAAGTGTGATCTCTTCATTATTTCTACCTCTCCATTGTCGATTCATAGGTTCTCCGGCAACCATTTTCGTTGGAGAATCCTCAACCGGTAGCTTCCCTTGCGCGAAATCGAAACTACCGCTTAATCTATCGCCTTTTCGAATAGTAGCGATTGGATCTTTATCACTTGTTCTCACCGCCGTGTCATCGGTGGGTGTTCCAGTGTTGTCTTGCCAAAATTTGTAACTGGCATCACGTTCTACAGGTGCGTTACGACCATCATCGAGGCTAGAACGAGTGCTTTCGGGTTTCGGGTCATCGATGACCATGCTGGAATGATCAGGATGGTGATCGTGATCGTGGAGGATAGGAAGATGTTCAGGGCTTGGCTCGCTTTGATCACCAGGGCTTCGAATTTGTTTGTATGAGCTATGAGATTTGAAGGAATTTCTGAAATCCATTTGAAAAATAATAAATTATTAAATCTAGAATAAAAAATTTGCACAAACAAAATTACGAATTTTTAGAAAAAGAAACAAAAACTTCGCCGATTGTTGTGATGCATGGTACAAAAGCTTACGTTAATTAGAAATAAACGTTACGTGTAAATAATGGCATGAGATTATAAGCAAATTACAAATATTAGATTATTAATTTTTCTTGGTCCTTTTGTTAAGTTACTATGATCAATATTGGTTATAAAAGATTCAATCTTTATAGTATATATAGCAACTAAAATTCATGTTAAATTGAACCAAATTTAATAATTAAAATCCAAAACGATTCCACCTTAAATATTTTATTTTCTTTTATCAAACTCTAATTTTTACCAAAAAAAAAAAACACATCACAATCTCTAGATATCCTTTATTCAAATATTCAAGACCAGAGTTAAAGAAACATGAGATGATTAGAACAACAACATCACCAACAACAACAACAATAACACCAACAACAATAACCACAAGAGCTAAGAAAAAAAAAAGAGAACATAAAAAAAATTAAAACCTAAAGTAAAGATTAAGAGAATTGGTGTTTACCCATATAGTTTCAGATTTATCAGTCTTCTTCACTTGCGTCTTCTTCACTATCGTCTTCTGCGTCCTCCATTTCAACATCACCTTCATCTCCAAGAATCCACTGTTCAAGTTCATCTTCTTGTGCTTCTATGTGTTGGTGTATGTCTGCAGAGTCCCAGTCGTCTTCCCCATCATTTCCAAGCTCTTCTCCACGGCAAGAGACCTGTAAATGTGGTCGTCTCCTTGCCAAGGCATCTACGATATCTCTGTTTACACTTCCTGTGATCCCTAACCATTTAAGCCTCGGGAAAAACGGTTTCTTTAGCCATTTGAACGAGAGTTGTGTGATGCCTCCACAGTCGTAAAGATCCAACAAACACAAACTACTTCCAGGGCATTCGTCTTCGTAAACCCGTGTAGAAGCAAGAGCCATGACTGAGGCATCCCCTATGAGTCTACACTCTCTTAGTTGCAGTTTTGTGATTGGGGCTCCAGATTTTGCTAGAGCAAAAATGGCAGCATCTGTTAGATTAGGAAGATTAGACAAGTCGAGTTCACGCAGCACCAGTTTTGAGGATCCGTCAAATAAGGTAGACATGAACTTATCTGTTAAATTTCTGCACCCTCTGACAGATAAAGAAACTAGGGAGTCCAAAAGTCCCTCTTTTAGGTAAGAAAGCCCTGTGTCGCTAATATCGGTGCCATCAAGAAGTAAAACCTTCAGTTTTGGCAGATGAGATACGGCTTTTAAGGTTCCATCCCTCAGGTTTCTGCACCCTCTGAGGTCAAGATTCTCCAGTTTGAGACTTGACGCCAGCTTTTGAATTGCGTGGTCCGTAAGAAGATGGCACCTTCTTAAGCAAACATGACTAAGCGATAAAGTAGTTGCTAAGATGTCATGGAAGACAAGATCCGTCAACTTAGGTCCATGATATATGCTAAACTTGGAGAGGCTAGCGCAAGAGTGAAGAATAGTCTTGAAACCAGCATCTGTTACCCGACAAAAGCCACCAAGACAAATGCTTTCCATGCCCAAGCATTTATCAGCAAGAAAAAGCATTCCTTGATCACTAACTCGCCGGAAATAAGTAGGGTGAAACTCCTGACTACGGATTAGAGAGAGGTGCTTCAACTTACCGTTTTGATTGATCTCATGAAGCCCAAAATCCGTGAGGTCTGATAGTTGTCTTGGATCCTCAAGGGGCGCATCTCTTATGTCCAAATCTATCAAAGATGTAAGAGATTTCGATATCGCCTTAACCACAGCATCAGTAATGCAATCCACTGAGAGGCGCAACTGCTGAACATTTTGTAGCACAGTAGATGTAACCCGGCTGCTGTCTTGCCCCGAGATTTCAGTTGATGTAAGTAGTTGAGTCATCATCCTTGACGAGATGTGTCCTAGCTCCAGATGAGTCAATTTATCAGATACCAATCCAAAGATGCGACCATCACCAGGACGCAGATACAATGAGAGGTCAAACATGAGTGCTAAGACCTGCCAAATACAACATAACGGCATGATTCCATTACATAGACAATCAACACTAGACAAGATATATACCATCAAAAGGTTGATTAAGGATTTAAACCTCTAAATGGGAGCAACCATTTAGTAAATCTTCGAAAGCACAACGACTAATACTTCGACCAACTTTCTCCGCCACTGAACCCAAACATAGGAGCCTGAAGTTTCAGGAACAATGACCAATCCGTTAGACACAACAATGGAAAGCTTCCTCATATATCAGATGCATCACACACACACACACATACCTCAAATCCTTGCATCTCCTCCCGATTTCAGAGATTAGATCGCCGCTGAAATCCCGACAATTGTGAAGAGAAATCTCCCTCAGAGAAGGACGTACCAATATATCAATAGCTGAATTACCAAGTCTTCCACAATCAAGCTTGAGACTTGAGAGTTGTTGATTCGGAAACAACAATGGTCTAACAGTTTCCATCGACAATGAAACATTCTGAAATCCCAAAACCACAGCAACAAAAAAAAAGATCAAAAAAGACAAAAACTTTTATATACAATTTCAGTCTGAAATCGAAATCCAAATCAAACCCTTAAAGAAATGTGGAGACTTACGAAGATGTGGAAGTTAGGAGTGAAGGTGAGGACACGAGTAACACAGCTCTTAAGTGTTTTGCAAGTAGAAGCCAACGAGCAGAGAGACCCAACGTCGAGTTTCGTCATTATAGTCTCCAAGAGAGCCGCCGGTAACAGATCCAGGCTTCTCTCTCCATCGCAACCGTCAACATCTCCTCCTCCGCCACATAAGACGGTGGTCGCCATCGACGGAGTCTCTCTTTCCTGATCAAGTAAATTGCGGAAATTGTGGCGATCTCGTTCTGTGTCCGACCGATCTCATCTTTAAATGTCTGAATTTTTAGATTCCCTCGATCCATTTTACAAGGACATTAAAATATTGATATCATACAAAACGTCAACGTTTTATATAGTAGACCGAAATAAGTCCCAACTAAAACCGGAATTCAAATTCGGTTTGTTCAGTTAGATTTGGTTCGGATTAGGCCTGGACATAAAACCTGAAATCCGAACTAAAAAGTCACAAAACTCAAACGGATAATAAATTGTTCTATCCGAATTACCCGAACCGAATCCGATCCGAACTAAAAACCGAAAAATATATCCGAAAACTCGAAATAAACTTATATATCCGAAATCATTTAGTTATATTTGTAAAAATTACATATTTTGTTGCAAAATTTAACCAAATTTTAGTAAGATTAAACCAATTTTTATTAAATTGAACAATTTTTTAGTTATTTTTTTCTTATTTCCGAAAAACGATCCGAGTCCGAACAGAATAGTAATAAAATCTAAACAGATAATAAACTCTCCTATCCGAATTATCCGAATCCAGAAAAATCATAATTGAATCCGATCAGAAATCCGAATCTCCAGGCTTAGTTCGGATAATTCTCTATCCCGTTTTGGTATTGATAAATTATGGTTCCTGTTTTGGTATTGATAAATCATGGTTCGACTCGGTTAATATGTCCACCACTACACGTGGTTGTGGGACCCAGTGAGTTATTCGACCCGTAATAGATTCGGGTCGGGTCAAATCTCATCGTTGTAATTGTGTCTTTCTCCGGCATTTCTAAAGTTCAAAGCTAATTCAATCTCAACAATGGTGGATTGGTCTACACTCCCGAAGGATCTCTTAGACCTAATCTCAAAATCTCTAGAATCTTCCTTCGATCTCGTCCAATTCCGTTCCGTTTGTTCTTCATGGCGATCCGCCGCCGAGCCAAAACGTCCGCTCCCAACACATCACCTCCCGATCCTCCCCGATAACGGTGGTAGCCTCTTCCCTGATTCCGCCGTAGGTTTCCGTCTCTCGCAGCGGAGTATCTTACTTATCAAGCCTCATGAACCACCACACAACGAAGCAGATTCGTTTGGATGGTTGATCAAAGTCGAGGAAGATCTTAATGTTCCTCGTAAGGTGACTCTTTTAGATCCGTTATGTGATAAAAGAAACTCAATTCCTGAGAATTTCCCTCATGTTCTCGATATGTCGAAGTTTAAGGTTCGAGAATTGGGTCGAGAGTTTAAGCTTCATTATTTCAATACTGTTGGTGATATTGTAGAGAGTTTATACTTGGAGAAAGCTGTTGTTAAGTATCTAGATTGTGATGTTGAGTATAAATTTGTGTTGCTTACGATTCATGTTTCGGGGAAGTTAGCTGTGTTTAGGTCTTGGGATCGAGCTTGGACTGTGATTAATGACATGCCTTCTCCTTATGATGATGTGATTTTGTTCGATGGACGTTTCTTTGCGGTTGATAACAACGGGAGGACTGTGGTTGTGGATTACAGTTCTTTGAAATTGACGTTGGTCGCGAGTCCTGTGTTTGGTGGTGATAAGAAGTTTTTGATTGAATCTTGTGGTGAAATGTTGCTTGTTGATATGTATTTGAGTTTAGAGGCAGTGGAAGGGGATCCTGGATTCGTCGAGGAGATTTTCGAGCATCCTGCGTTTTATATGAATGAGAGAACGGTTAAATTTAAAGTGTATAGATTTGTGGAAAGAGAGGAGAGTTGGGTTGATGTTTACGATCTTGAGGATAAGATGTTGTTCCTTGGTGATGATTCCACCTTTTCCGCCTCAGCTTCTGATATTTTACCTACCTGTGATGGAAGCTCCGTGTTCTTCAATGGTAATGTCTTCAATGGGGAAGACTTGGGCGCTATGCAAGATCGAGATTTGGGAGTGTTTGATTTGAGGACTGGCAAAATAGAGCTGGTGCAAAAACTCCCTGAATATGCTAAGCTGTTTTGGCCTCCACCTCCCTGGATTACTTCTCGTGCGGTCAGTAGTTTTGAAACTGTTAACACCTGAAATACCCGTTTGTTTAGGATTGTTTTCTTATACAGTAGTTGTGTATACTCTACCTTGCATTTGCATCTCGTGGCTAGGGAAACTCTGTGACAATATCCTTATATCAATCAACATCTTTCATCTTCGCAATAGTCTCTGAGCATGCATTGGGTTTCTTGTCAGTTTCACAACTGTTGCTTGTCCCTAACCGCGACATTTTGAGGGTGGTTGGACAGTCAAATCCATTTGCCTTACTGCTACTTTGTTTTCTTTTCACGTTAGTATCAGTAAATAATGCTCATTGCTGTTGATCCTCAAAATCACACAAGTACGTATTCGGAGTCTTAAGGGTGAAAGAAGAATCTCTTATTTAATGACGAGCCGACGATTACAAAAATGGACGAGCTAAAAACTGAGTATACGAGCCGAGCCGCAAAGTACTCTGACGGTTGTACGAAATTCTCTGTGAAAGCGGTTATTTCGGGATCCCTTTACAAACATTCTTTTTTGCTATTTATAGGGCGCAGAAGTAGGGTACACTGTGCGTACGAAATGTCCTTTTTACCCCTTTGGTCGGTGGAAAATCGGACTGGGCCTTTCTTGGGCTTCTGCTGGGCCACAGGGATACATGGCCTGTTTGGAGAGTTTTGGCCCGTTAAGGGGTTTGGGCTCGAGCCCAAAACCCACCATCAACAGTAGCCCCCCAACCCTAGTGCGTAGTGATGACGCGGCTAGGGTTTCAATCATTTCGCCGTTCTCGCTTCGACTTCCTTCGCGTGTTTTCGAGGCGCGTGTGATGGACGCTCTCTTCTGATTCGTCCACTGCCGCTCCCGAGACGTTGGAAAACGGGTCGTTCGCGTGTTGAAGGCGGCGAGGTCGTGATGATTACGCCGTTCTTCGAGGCGTGATGATGACGCGGTTTTTTTCTTCGACCGACTTCCTCTATAAATACTTCGCTTCCTCCTCATTCCTTTCATTCTTTCTCCGCATCAATTTCGAAGGTATTCTCTCTGTTCTCTCTCCTTTTTCTCAGCGCGTCTTTTCTTATTTTCCGATTATGTCTTCAAGTATCGGTTCTTTCGACTCCATCTCCGACCATCGCCGATCTCGTACTTCCGACGAGTCAAATATCCGGTCTGTTGATCGTTTCCTCAACGAATCCGTCAGCAATTCCCGGGGTCGTAGATCTAGAACCTCTTCCGGATCGTCGGCCTCGTCCGTTGCCAGAGATTCTCCGGCTGTTGCAGAGCTACGACGTCGCGAGCTCGAAAGTCGCGTGGGAGCAGCCGGACCGAGTGCAAATCCTAGGTCCGTTGCAACCATGCGCCTCCGTGATGACGATAGTGACGCGGCGTCTACGGATGAGGATGACGTACCGCTCATCAGACGCAAATCTTCTATCGTTAGAGCGGCTCGTTCTGTTGGCCCGTCGTCTGATGTCGCCGATCGTTTGGACATCATTCCATTGGCGAGGCGGGCGCCCGCCCCGGTTGGGTGTGTTCAGCCTGGTGGACCAGCACCGGGAATTCCGGATTACCTTCACCCGACGTCGTCGACGAGCGAGACGATTGAGCTTTCTCTCCATTTTTGCGATGCTCCAGCTTCCCTGAATACGCTCATCCCGAATCCGTGGGATCGTCCCTGGACTGCTCCGCCTGGATATCTTTGCGTATACGAAAAGCTCATCACTGACTGCGGGCTGACTTTTCCAATTCCGGCGTTCTTGCTTCAGTACGCTTCGCGGCGAAAAATGGCGTTCGCGCAACTTTCTCCGGCTGCTATCCGGAATGCTTACGGCCTGATTCGTTTGGCCAAGCAGTGCGGCGTCGAACCTCGTTGTTCTCTGTATGAGGAACTGACGACGAAGAAGAATTTCGAGAAATCCAAGCCGGGCTTGGTGTATACTCAGTCTTCGCTGACCCCAAAGTTGGTTGTCGGTGCGAAGAGTAAGACCAACGACTGGCTTCGTTGGTACTTCTTTGTTAAGATCGACAACGATTCCGCGGGGGACGTGGTCGTCACAAATTACCATGGGTGGACTATTTCACCCGGTAGTTTGCTTATCCCTCCGAGGTCGATCCCTTGTTAATTTATTGTCTATCTGACATATTTTTCTCGTTTCTTTTCCTCTTGTAGTTCGTTGTCCCAAGATCTTGGACCCGTATCCTGAGAAACTTCGCGACGACGTCAAGAAGATTCTAGCTTTGTGCCCGTATACCTGGCCAAACGAAGAAGACCCTGTTCGTCGCCCTTCCTCAAAGTCTAAGAAAACGAGCCGAAGAGGAGGTTCTTCGAAAGCAAGGAAGGCTAACAAGACTCCAGGTCGGCCTTGATCTTTCCTTTCTTCCCTTATTCGTTTGATGAGTGCGTACGCTTTTTCTTACATTCTTCTCTCCCTTTTCTTTCACACACCAGCTCCTTCGAAGATTATGGGAAAAATGAATGTTGACGCGGTGGGTGATTACTCATCACGATACAAGAAGAAGTCGTCGGTGACGCCGTCGAAGAGGATGAGCCGGGAGGAAGACGAGGCCATGGCCTTAGGGAAACGTCTTTCCTTAGCCGAACATGAGGCTAAGGAGAGTGAGCGACGATCTTCAGGTCGTCGGGACAGGAGAGATGAGGGTGACCGTCGTGATCGACGCGGTCATGACGTTGTCGGTGCCGATCGTTCGGAAGCAAGATCCGACGCAGAGAGGGAGAGGAGGGAGAAGGAGGTGGCTGAAGCGCGGTCAGCTAAGCTACCTATTGCCGAGACTTCTCATGATGTGCCCCTAGGCGGCAGGGAGGTTATTTTGTATGACAACTCTCAGGTCGAGCCGACCAAGAAGCGGGCTGCTGATGAGTCCGAACCGGCGCGTTCGGACCCGACCAAGAGACAAAGGACGGCCTGGGCCCCTGATTATAGGTGGCGATATGATTATAACGGGCGCGACGTCCATATCTCGACTGATTCCACATCCTGTGCGGAGCTGTTCCGCAAGCTTCACGTCGGTCCATCTCCCTTCTTCGAGCTTCAAGATATGTGGGAGAGAACGGCGTTCACTGACGCTGCGAAGAAGACCGTTGCGGTAATGTCCTAAGAACTTTCGTAATACTTTTAAGTGTTTTGTTCTCTAACCCAGTTTCTACTTTTTTCTTGTAGGCCATCGGCGCGATTGACAGGATGGCGTATATGTACGAGCGTCGTCTCCGCGTCGTTTCTGAGCAGAACACGGCCTCGAAGGATCACCAGAGGGCCTTGGCAGCCGAGACGAGGAGGGCTGATCAGGCGTCGAAGGGCTTGGAGAGTGCCAACTCCGAGGTGCAGCTTCTTCGCGAGGAGGTCGCCAAACTGAAGGAGGAACGGGATAACGCTCTTTCAGAACGGGAGCGTTGTCTTGAGGAGTTGTCGAAGTCCCGTGTTGACTTTAAGAACTTGGCCGAGCAGTCACAAGCCGAGGAGGCAAGGCTTCGGAAGCGGCGCACCGAATACGCTCGTAAGGCTCTCAAGGAGGCTGCAGACCAATTTCAGCAACGTCTCGACGGGATTCAGAGGCATTTTACTACCAGGGACGCGGCATATCCCAAGTTCCTCGATTATAATCAGGCGGTTGGGAGCGTTGACCTGCTGAAGGCGCTGGCTGAAACTGGGGAGGTCGTCTTGAACTCCAAGGACGTAATTGAGAGGCTTGAAGCTGATGCGGAAGAGCTTAAGAACGAGGTCAATGCGTTCGACATTGCCGAGTTGGAGGAAGGCTGGAATGACGTCGGAAATCTCTTCACGGGCTCTCTCGCTGCTGAAGAAACCGAAGTCGTTGATGGTGACGTCGAGGCCGTCGACCAAGTCGTTGGTGATGGCGACGCCCAGATCGGAGATCCTCCTCAAGACGAGGCCGCGTCTTGAGTTTTTATGTTATTATTATTTTTTTTAAGTTATTTGCCGCGTAGTCGGCTTTTGTAAGACTCTTGCCACTTCTGTTGGCTTTTCCTTTATTGAATATCTATTTCGTTTGCTATCTTTTTCGTATGCCGTCGATATCGTTCCGCGCAGGTTATTGAGGACGACCTCAATAACTTGGTCGATAATCGTGTTTGGGTTGGATCCAAGACACTTGGTGGTACGACCTACGAGGTCGTACCGCGCAAGTTATTGGGGACGACCTCAATAACTTGGTCGATAATCGTGTTTGGGTTGGACCCAGAACAGTTTTAGGTGCGACCTCCGGGGTCGGCTTATCCTGTTCGAATGATTAAAACGAGCGTGATTGCGAGTTCGGCCTCGGCTTACGTGACCAGTCGTTTTAATCGTGCGAGTATGGAACTCGGCTTTCGTTCGATTAGACACCGGGCCAGGGTGCTAATGTATTTCGTTTCGTTTGTCTTTTAAAAAGATAGATTTTATTAATATTTGCAGCTGTGCCTCGTAAACGAGGCTGCCTACGTACCCTCTGATCGGAGGGATCAAGCCGCTCGTAGTTCACATTACATAGTGAGGCGTCGGTAAGGCCGAGCTCCCCTTTTTTTTTTTTTTTTTTTTTTTTTTTTTTTTTTTTTAATAATAGTATCGCTTCAGATGCATCGAATTCCATGTGCGGGGGACTTCGACGCCGGACATTGTGAGGAGTTCGTAGTCTCCGGGTCGGACAATCTTCGATATCTGATAGGGACCTTCCCAGTTCGCGCCTAGCTTCCCGGCGTTGAGTTCGGCCGTGTTTTCGAACACTTTTCTGAGGACGAGGTCTCCTTCGCTAAAATGCCGATTATGGACTTTCTTGTTGTAGTATTTCGCTGCGGCGAGTTGATAATTCTGGATTCGACATAGCGCGGTGTTGCGGTTTTCTTCCAGGTCGTCGAGACTGTGCCTCATCATTTCATCGTTGAGGTCATTATTCTGTATCATCATGGAACGTCGGAGGCTCGTACACCCTACTTCGGCCGGGGCCATCGCTTCCATTCCGTAGGCTAATGAAAACGGAGTCTGTTCGGTGGCGCTGCGCGGGGTCGTTCTGTATGACCATAGGACGCCATCGAGTTCGTCTGCCCAGACTCCTTTTTTGGCTTCTAGCCGTTTCTTGAGTCCGGCGAGGATTGTTTTGTTTGTTGCCTCAGCCTGGCCGTTGCCTTGGGGGTAACGCGGTGTTGACTTGTTCAGACGAATTCTCCAGCTAGCGCAGAAATCTTCGAACTGTTGCGAAATAAACTGTGAGCCGTTGTCCGTGATTATTTCGTACGGTAGGCCGTGCCGACAAATGATGTATTTCCAAACGAAGTTTTGTACGTCTTTGGCTTTGATCGTTGCATAGGATTCGGCTTCGACCCATTTGGTGAAGTAATCAGTCATGACGAGGATGAAGCGTTTTTGCCGCGAAGCTGGAAGTGGACCAACGACGTCCATGGCCCAACGCATGAAAGGGTATGGCGCGGCGCCAGCTTTCATCAGTTCGGTCGGCTGGTGGATGACGGGGGCGTGCCGTTGGCATTGCTCGCATTTGAGCACGTAGTTTTTACAATCCGAGATCATCGTCGGCCAGTAGTAACCGAGCTTTCTGATTTTGAGTGCGAGAGATCGTCCTCCTGAGTGGTTTCCACCTGCTCCCTCATGTGTTTCTTTCATGACTTTTGCCGCGTCCGCCTTATGGAGGCAGCTGAGCACTGCCCCAGAGGCGTTGTACCGAAGTAAGCATTCGCGGTATAGAGCATATTTTGACGATTTGGCGCGTAGACGCCGTGCTTCCCATTTGTCCACCGGAACCGTCCCATCTGACAGGAAATCGCGTATTTCGAGGCGCCAATCTTCGGGGTCGCTTATCGGATCTGGTGCGGCGCGGCTGCACACAAGGTTGATGGATTCGACCCCTTCAATGCTGGGGTGGTCGATGCTTTCGACTGGTATGACGCGACGAAGGTCTGGGTCGGACGTTGAGGCTAGCGCTGCTAGGGCGTCTGCGGAAGCGTTATCTCCCCGCGGTATTTTGGTTAGCTCAAACTCTGTGAATTGTTTGGACAGACGCTGGACGACCTTGAGGTATGCGTCCATTCTATCATTTCTTGCTTCGTAGTCGCCGCTATATTGACTTGCTACGAGCTGTGAATCGATCAAGGCGCGGAGTCGTCGGACGTTCATCCCAATTGCGAGTCGGAGTCCAGCGATAAGTGCTTCGTATTCGGCGACGTTGTTTGTCGCCGCGAAACGTAGCCGGAAGGACTGCTCCAACATTTCGCCGGTTGGGGACACGAGCCTGATGCCGACGCCCGATCCATGCGAAGAGGACGAGCCGTCTGAATAGAGGGTCCAAGTACCATTCGTCTGATCGGTGCTTAGTGCGGTGTCGTCCGTGTCTATTACTGGTAATTCGACGATGAAGTCGGCGAGGACTTGAGACTTCATGGCTGGTCGAGCCCGGAAGTCGATATCGTATTCACTGAGTTCGACGGCCCACTTGGTCATCCTTCCAGACAGGCTCGGACTGTGTAATGCGGCTTTGATAGGTTGGTTTGTAAGCACGGCCACGGTATGAGATTGGAAGTAGGGACGCAACTTTCTCGCCGACGTAACGACTGCTAACGCAGCCTTTTCCATTGTAGGGTATCGGACCTCGGCCTCGATTAGCGACTTACTTATGTAGAAGATTGGTCTCTGTTCGCCGCGGTCATCTCGTACTAGTACCCCGCTGACGGCCCAACTGGATACAGCTATGTATAAGAATAAAGTTTCACCGTTCTCAGGTTTTGCGAGCACTGGTGGCGTTGTCAGATACGTCTTGAGTTCGGCGAACGCTTTCTCGCTTGCGTCGTCCCAGGTAAACTTGTCTCTTCGCTTTAGGAGGTTGTAGAACGGCAAACATTTATCCGTCGACCTTGAGATGAACCGATTGAGGGCCGCGATCCGGCCGGTCAACCGTTGTACTTCCTTGGCGTTTCTGGGAGAGGGCAACTCCAGTATAGCGCGAATTTGTTTTGGGTTGGCTTCTATCCCTCTCTTGGTGACGACGTAGCCTAGGAACTCACCGGAAGTTACCGCGAACGTACACTTGGCCGGGTTTAACTTCATTTGGTATTTGTTTAGCACGTCGAAGCATTGTCGGAGGTTCTGAACGTGGTCGTCAGCCTTCAATGACTTAACGAGCATGTCGTCGATGTAGACCTCGACAGTTCGGCCGAGCTGTTCGGCGAACATTTTGTTGACGAGGCGCTGATACGTTGCTCTGGCATTTTTCAGGCCGAATGGCATCACCTTGTAGCAGTACGTTCCGCGATCGGTGATGAAGGACGTCTTTTCCTGATCGTCCTTATGCATGAGAATTTGGTTGTATCCAGAGAAAGCGTCCATGAACGATAGGAGCTCGTTCCCTGCTGTGGCTTCGACGAGCCGGTCGATATGCGGTAAAGGGTAGCTATCTTTTGGACAGGCCTTGTTCAGATCAGTGAAGTCGACGCACACCCGCCACTTGCCGTTTTTCTTTTTGACTACGACGGGATTTGCCAACCACTCTGGATATCGGACTTCGATGATAGAGCCGGCGCCAAGTAGCTTTTCGACCTCGTCATTTACTGCTTTGGCTCGTTCCGGACCCAATTTGCGTCTTTTCTGCTTCACCGGTTTGAATGTCGGATCCACGCCTAGCTCGTGGGACGTTATCGATGGGTCGATTCCAGGCATGTCCTCAACGCTCCAAGCGAAGGTTGACGAATTCTCTTTGAGGAGGGCCACAAGGGCCGCTTTGATTTCTGGACTAATTTCAGCTCCGATGCCGACGCATCGTAGTGGATCCGACGCGTCGATATTCACAAGTTCCGTCCGACTTAGTTCCGATTCCTCGTAGGATTTGCCCGGTGCCTTTGCTACTGCGGAGCGGGGCATGGGCTCCTCTTTCTTTGGTTGCTATAATTTCTTTTCGGCGCGGTTCTTGTGTTCGATCAGGAAACACGTCCGCGCTACTTGCTGATTTCCTTTGAGAGTAAAGATTCCTTGATGAGTAGGAAACTTGACGCACTGATGATAGGTGGACGCGACGGCCTGCATTTGATGTAGCCACGGTGTCCCCAAGATTACATTGTATATCGTCGGTTTATCGATGACAACGAACTTAACCCAGGCGATCGTTCCGCCAACAAATGTGGGTAGTTTGATGGTGCCGAGAGACATGATGAAATCGCCATCGAACCCAGCCAATGGTCGAGAACGCGGCTTTATACATCGGTCAGCTACGTTCATCGCGGTGAGGGTGTCTTTAAAGATTAGGTCGACTGAGCTGCCTGTATCGATCATGACGCGCGTAACTCGACTATCGCTGACGATTAGCTCGACAACCAACGGATCGTTGTGGGGGAGATCGACTCCGACGAGGTCGTCTTTCGTGAAAGAAATGGGTTCGATCTCCGCGGAAGGTTGGCTCGGCGCTACTGGCCACGTTTCCATCATTTCGGCTTTCTTTCGACACTGCTTGATTGAACGGACCGAATCGTTGCAGTTTTGAAGACCGCCCATGATCATATGGATTTGTCGAACGACAGCGGGGGCGTCGGCGACAGCTTTGCCATGGCGCTGTCTTTTGGCCGAATCGTTTGCTTGATCGTCGCCTCCAGCTGCTCCGTCGGCTCGGTCCTGGAGGAATTGCCGAGCAGTGGCCTCGTTTCGTTTTTGGTTTTTATTGCCCCCTTGGGCTCGGTCACATTCGATGGTGATGCCGCCGCTCTTGTACTTAGCCATGAGGAGTCCTTGCAGATAGCGACAGTCTTCCGTCGCATGAGCCTTACTTTTATGATACTCGCAATACACCGGCCCGGTAGTAATGGCATCAGTTTCTCTTGCCCATTTGTTCCATTGTTTGGGCGCCGTGTCTTCACTATTTATGACGAACGTGGCCGGCTTTCTACCTTGGCTCGTATTGCGGTCGAGGTGCTGTCTTGGCTCCGCAGGTTTTACCACAGGAGTTTCTTTCGGCGCTGATGCCTTTGTTACTCCGTGCTTTCGTGACAGAATGAGCCGTTCCTCTTCTAATTCGATGTACCTCGTAGCTCTATGAAGTGCGTCCTCGAGCGTGCTCGGGACATGGAGCGTGATGTCGTCCCTAAACCTAGAATCGTACCATACCGCGTTGCGCAGAGCAACGATTGCGGCTTCATCTGGGACGACGATCCGGGTAATGACGTCCTTGAATCGGTCGATAAATAACCGGAGCGACTCCGTGGGTCCTTGCGCAAGGGACCACAGGTCGGCGTTGGTCGTTTGGTTCTGTATGAGCGGCGAGTAATGCTTGAGAAACGTTACGGACAGTTCACGATAACTGCTGATTGAGTTCGGCTTAAGTCTTGAGAACCAGTTGAGGGCGGCACCGGTTAGATGCTCGGTGAAAATCTGGCATTGTCCTGCTTCGAAGTTCTCTTCGGTTAGTTCGGCTCGGTTGATCGCGATGCCGAATGATGTCAGGAATTCTTTTGGATCGCCCTTTCCGTTATAGGGCTCGAGCTTTATCTTTTGGCGCCCTCGGAGTGAGACGCTGGTTATTCTTCGAGTGAAAGGAGTTTGCTGCGTTTCTTCAAGGACGCGGTCGAGTTCCGGTGCGGCACTTGTGGCCTTATGAACCTTTGTGTTCATTTCCTGGACAATGCGTCGCAGTTCGGCGAGCTCTAGGTCTCGGGTATTTTCGCTTGACGAAGTGACAGGGTGGATTTGCCGGGTCGGCACTTGGTTTCCTTGAACGGGTCGCACACCTTGCATCTGACTTGCACTTAGGCGATTGATTTCATCCTGAGCGCAAGCTTGGGCTGCTGCCAGAGATTCAAGTCGCACGTTCGTCCTGGCTTCTTGCTGGCTCAGGTGCGTGAGGATGTTTTGAAGCAGGTCGTCCGGTTCGCCGCGGTCCTGGCTTCTTTGGTTCGTCCCGGCTCTAGTGTTAACCTGTGGGTTCGTCATGTTACGTCCGTTCGAGGGAGTTATCTGAGCATCAGGACGTGGTTCAGGGTGCGGTCCGATAGCTGCCGCGGTAGGTCCTTCCGGCGTCGGAGGTAGCGAAGGCGGCGCGGCTGCTGGCGTGCATGCTTCTCCTCCCGAGCTGGAGGCACTTGCGCCGAGTGCGTTGTGGAATGCGTCTGTCATCTTTGCTGTTTCGTCGGTTCGTAGTTATGAGAGAAATCTTCGAGCTTCCCCCCTACCTGGCGCGCCAACTGTTGATCCTCAAAATCACACAAGTACGTATTCGGAGTCTTAAGGGTGAAAGAAGAATCTCTTATTTAATGACGAGCCGACGATTACAAAAATGGACGAGCTAAAAACTGAGTATACGAGCCGAGCCGCAAAGTACTCTGACGGTTGTACGAAATTCTCTGTGAAAGCGGTTATTTCGGGATCCCTTTACAAACATTCTTTTTTGCTATTTATAGGGCGCAGAAGTAGGGTACACTGTGCGTACGAAATGTCCTTTTTACCCCTTTGGTCGGTGGAAAATCGGACTGGGCCTTTCTTGGACTTCTGCTGGGCCACAGGGATACATGGCCTGTTTGGAGAGTTTTGGCCCGTTAAGGGGTTTGGGCTCGAGCCCAAAACCCACCATCAACAATTGCTAATATGTGAAACATTTACCGTCTCAGCATGCTGAAGATCATACTGGAGAAACATCATCCCAATCTTGAAAATACATATGTATAATCTGGAGTTCAAGATTTTGGAGATGCTATGGTTACAGTCTTTTACGAAGGTTAATCTCTCTAATACATGTGAGATTGAAAACCCATAGAGAGACTACAACCTGAATCACATGTTTATGTTTTCTTCTTTTCCAAGCTTTTCACTAGCTTGGCGTCTGTACATAGAGAACCTTTCTTTATAATCTTTTTCCCCCAAAGAATGATGTTTTCTCCAAAACAATTTGCGACACCCTAGCGGTAAGAATTTGATATATACCATTAATAGTTGTCACACTACAGTTACCAAATTGCTTATTGCTTAACCGGTACCAAATTGAGAGATCCGTAATTTCGAATAACATTTCAAATTGCTTAACCGGTACCACTTTTCCTAACCGAAGTCCGGTATTCAGCGATGCGGAATTGCGGATGAGTCAAAACATATGGAACTATGGATAATGGGAATGAGTGATGTTGGAGAAGGATTTACGGCAAAAAAAAAACAAAAAAAAAAAAAAACAGTGAGGCAAAGTTCATTATAAGTTAGTTAAAAATGGCGGCTTTGATCCAGACCGTCCATGGTGGTAAACCCAACTTGTAAGCTCTCAGTGTTCTTATCCTTGATTGTTTAAGTTTGGTAACTAGGGTTTCAAAGTTTTTCCATTTTTCTGATTACCAGTTGGGTAGCCTTACATAGACGAGACACTAGAATTGATGAAAACAAATTCTGGTTTTTGTTCCAGTTGAGTAAATTGTATAGTTTTTGAGGGTTAGTCTCGTTTTAATTCTGATCTCCTATTAAAAGTACACATTTTTATAATCGTTTCTCTGTATAGAATTGTTTGGGATAGAATTGGGCATTTGCCATTAAATGTATGTAATTTAGAAATTTGATCTCAGTTTATGATTCAATTAATCTATATGAGTTGATTTCTTGTTCTGTAATTGGTTACTCATAGAGCACTATACAATGCAGGTGTGGTTTACCAGAACCTTGACTCTTGTTTATCCTTCTACCTTTATGTCCAGACACAAAGCTCTGTACCAAATGATAAGCAGCAGTAACAGTGGTTTGCCACGGTTCAATTTCACTCCGCCTCAGCGGCTAAGCCAAGGTATCTGTTACTGGGGAGAAGAGTTAAGCAATGTGTCATGCACTTACAGAACCAAACTGGTGGTTCGGTGCAAGGCCGGAGTAGTGCCTCTGATGAAGCAAGGCGACCGGTTTCTCTCCTCTCTGTCGTCCCCAGCTTTAGCTGGTGATCCGTCAGCGACACACCGACACATTAAGAAGTTTGTGGCTGCTTCTCCCAAATCAGTGACTCTAAATGTCCTCTCTCATCTCCTCTCGGATCAAACTTCCTATCCTCATCTCTCCTTCTTTGCTCTCTCTGTGAGTCTTTGTTTTCTTCCTGTTTCTCTCATTAAAATATTGTTAGAGGTGAATGACTTTATATTGGTTGTTGTTTTCTTCTCCAGTTGTATTCGGAAATTACCGAAGCATCGTGGTTTGATTGGAATCCTAAACTCATTGCTGAGCTTGTTGCTGTGCTCAATAACCAAGAGAGATTTGATGAATCAGAAACTCTACTTTCTACAGCGGTTTCGAGGCTGAAGTCAAATGAACGAGACTTTGCTCTCTTCCTCTGCAATTTGGTTGAATCAAATTCTAAACAAGGGTCTATACAAGGTTTCAATGAAGCATGCTTTCGTTTGAGAGAGAGAATCCAAAGATCGTCATCAGTTTATGTCAAAACCCAAGCTTACAAGTCTATGGTTGCTGGATTATGCAACATGGACCAACCTCATGATGCAGAAAGAGTTATCGAGGAGATGAGAGTGGAAAAGATAAAGCCGGGATCGTTTGAACATAAGTCTGTTCTATACGGGTATGGAAGATTGGGATTGTTTGACGACATGAACAGAGTAGTGCACAGAATGGAAACCGAAGGTCACAAAATCGACACAGTTTGTTCAAATATGGTTCTCTCTTCCTATGGAGCCCATGATGCACTTCCCCAAATGGGTTCTTGGTTACAGAAATTGAAGGGTTTTAATGTTCCTTTCTCCATAAGGACGTATAACTCGGTCTTGAATTCTTGTCCTACAATCATGTCACTGTTGAAAGACTTGAATAGCTGTCCGGTTTCTCTTTCTGAACTGCGTACTTTTCTGAATGAGGACGAAGCGCTTCTGGTCCTTGAATTGACTCAGTCAACAGTTTTAGATGAAGCAATTGAGTGGAACGCGGTAGAGGGTAAGTTGGATTTACATGGTATGCACTTGAGCTCATCGTATTTGATATTGCTGCAATGGATGGATGAGATTAGACTTAGATTTAGAGACCAAAAGTGTGTGATTCCTGCCGAGATAGTAGTTGTTTCTGGATCTGGAAAGCACAGCAATGTAAGAGGAGAGTCACCGGTAAAAGCGCTGGTTAAAAAGATAATGGTGCGTACTGAAAGCCCAATGAGAATTGACCGGAAGAATGTTGGTAGTTTTATTGCCAAGGGAAAAAATGTAAAAGAATGGCTCTGCAAATGAAGATTTATAACTGTATATTTTGATCATTATCTGCTTAAGATGGTGTTGATTGGTGATTCCGGTGTTGGTTAATCGTACATGTTGCCAAGATTCACCAGGAATACGTTTTGCTTAGAATCAAACTCTTGGTGTCAAATTTTCCACCAGAACTAATCAGGTGAGTCAAAATTTTCTCTTCACACTCTTAAAATTACCTGCGTGGGAGTAAAATTCTGAATAGCTGGTTTTAGAATAAGAGAAATTTGAACAAAAATGATTTCAAATTTCAAGTATATATTAATATATGTTAAACCCTAGAGTTCTGTGAAATTTGAACAATAGCTTGTTTGTCTCTGTTTCTGGTGTATCTTTAGCTCTATTCCATGAGGTTTCTAGTCTTGAATAATATGTTTAGTTTTTTTCAAGCAATGGCTCTTTAGCTTTTGTTTGTTTAAAATTGCAGCTGCTTTAGTCCCTTGATTTGGATACCAAATAAGTGAAAGGTCTTGTCCCTATAAGTTTTCTTAAGATTAAAGGTATTGATTTCTCTTTTGTCTTTTTTTTTTTTGGGCAAACTAACTCTCTTTTGTCTTCTTAAGATTTTTATTCAAGAGAGAATCTTAGATTTGCTTTTCTCATTTTAAAACTGCAAATGGATGGTCGTGAGGGCCAATTTGTCTTCAAAAAGTTATTTTTCATGCTTGACCTTGTCCACCTTTGAGCTCTCTTAAAGTCAACCGATAAAATTTGAAGAAAAGAGAGCTTTTCGTTTCTCCCATGATGGATTGGGCAAAACTCCCGAAGGAACTCTTAGACCTGATCTCCAAATGTCTAGAATCTTCCTTTGATCTCATCCAGTTCCGTTCTGTATGTTCTTCATGGCGATCCGCCGCGGGGCCAAAGCGCCTTCTCTGGGCACATAACCTCCCGTTCTTCCCCTCCATTGACAAACCCTTTCTCTCCAATGTAATCCTCCGCGTCGCGCACGGGAGTATTTTACTTATCAAGCCTCATGAACCGCGATGCGAGGCGGATCTGTTTGGATGGATTGTCAAGGTCTGGGATAACATATATGTATCTCGTAAGATGACCCTTCTCAAACCGATGAGTTTTTCAAGAAACTACTTTCCTCGGAATTTACCTCGAATTCTCGATATGTCTAAATTTAGGGTTCGTGAATTGTGTCGGGAAGTCAAGCTCTATCATCCTGATTACAACTGTGACCCTGGACACCCACCTTTAGAGTTGGAGTTGGGGAAAACTGTTGTCAAGTACCTGGAGGATGACAAATTCGTGTTGCTTACGATTCTTGAATATGAAAAGTTAGCTGTGTTTAGGTCTTGGGATCGAGCATGGACTGTGATCAATGATTACATGCCTTTTCGTTGTCAAGATTTAATAATGTTCGATAGACGTTTCTTTGCTATCGACTACAATGGGAGGACTGTAGTTGTTGATTACTCTTCGTTCAAATTGACATTGGCCGCTGATCCTTTGATTGGCGGTGGTGACAAGAAGTTTTTGATTGCATCTTGTGGTGAAATGTTTCTGGTGGATATAGAGTTTTGCAGAAACAGACCGAATGAGGATCCGGAAATCACCGGGGGTTTCTATTCGTATTTTTATGAGACCACAGTCAGTTACAAATTTAAATTCTTTAAATTAGTGGAAAGAGAGAAGAGATGGGTTGAGGTGGAGGATCTTGGGGATAAGATGTTTTTCCTTGGAGATGACTCCACATTTTCCGCTTCAGCTGCTGATATTATACCTCTCTGTGTGGGAACTGGAAGCTCCGTGTTCTTCTACACGCATGAGGAATCCTTGTTCGTGATGGATGATCGAAACTTGGCAGTGTTTGATATCAGGAGTGGGAAAATAGAGCTGGTAAACAAACTCCCTGAATATGCCAAGTTGTTTTGGCCTCCACCTCCCTGGATTACTACTTCTCATGAGGTCAGTAGTTTCCAATCTCTCAACCACCGGTAATAGTGTATTTACATTTGCATCTTGTGGCTATGGAAAATATGTGGCATCATCAGTAGTCAACAACTCTCATCTTCGCAATAGTTTCTTTTCAGTTTCATGACCGCAACATTTTTGGGACTGTCAAAATCTTTGATCTTACTGCTTCTTCTTTTTTTTCCGCTTAAGTCTCACTAACTTATACCCAAATATTTACTGTCTCAGCGTGTTGAAGATAATACTGGAGAAACATCATCCCAATCTTGAGATACATTTGTATAATCCGGAGTTTTAAGACCTTGGAGATGACACTTCAGCTTGAATGACATGTTTATATGCTTTCTCTTAAGTTTTGTAAGTAAATCAATGTTTTGAATTTATTTGTGTGAAAATCCAATGTCTAAACTGAAGTCCGGTATATATATTTGTTGGATCTCAGTTTCTGATTCAGATCATCTATATTTGTTACTTTCTTGTTGTGTACTTGGGTTACTCATACTCAGCTCACTATACAATACAGGTGTGGTTGTTACAAGAACCTTGACTCTTCTTATCTTTATGTCCAAGGTATCTGTTACTGGGGAGAAGAGCTAAGCAATGTCTCATGCGCTTACAGTACCAAAATGGTTGTTCGGTGCAAGGCCGGAGCAGTACCTCTGATGAAGCAAGGCCAAGCCCATTGCTGAACTTGTTTCTCTGCTCAGTAAACAGGAAAGATTTGTTGAATCAGAAACGCTACTTTCTACTGCGGTTTCGAGGCTGAAGTCAAATGAAAGAGACTTTGCTCTTTTCCTCTGCAATTTGGTTGAATCAAATTCTAAACAAGGATTCGATGAAGCCTGTTTTCGTTTAAGAGAGATAATCCAAGATCATCGTCAGTTTATGTCAAAACTCAAGCTTACAAGTCTCTGGTTGATGGATTATGCAACATGGACCAGCCTCATGATGCAGAAAGAGCTATCCAGGAGATGAGAATGGAAAAAAGAAAGCCGGGATTGTTTGAATATAAGTCTGTTCTATACGGGTATGGAAGATTGGGATTGTTTGATGATATGAACAGAGTAGTGCATAGAATGGAAACCGAAGGTCACAAAATCGACACAGTTTGTTCAAATATGGTTCTCTCTTCCTATGGAGCTCATGATGCACGTCCCCAAATGGGTTCTTGGTTACAGATATTTAAGGGTTTTAATGTTCCTTTCTCCATAAGGACGTATAACTCGGTCTTGAATTCTTGTCCTACCATCATATCACTGTTGAAAGACTTGGATAGCTGTCCGGTTTCTCTTTCTGAACTGCATACTTTTCTGAATGAGGACGAAGCGCTTCTGGTCCATGAATTGACTCAGTCATCAGTTTTAGATGAAGCAATTGAGTGGAACGCGGTAGAGGGTAAGTTGGATTTACATGGTATGCACTTGAGCTCATCGTATTTGATATTGCTGCAATGGATGAATGAGATCAGACTTAGATTTAGCGAAGAAAAGTGTGTGATTCCTGCCGAGATTGTAGTTGTTTCTGGATCCGGAAAGCACAGCAATGTTAGAGGAGAGTCACTGGTAAAATCGCTGGTTAAAAAATAATGGTGCGTACTGGAAGCCCGATGAGAATTGACCGGAAGAACGTCGGTAGTTTTATCGCTAAGGGAAAAACTGTAAAAAAATGGCTATGCAAATGAAGTTATAACTGTGAATTTTAATCACTGGATTCACAAGTACTTAGTTCTGCTTACAAGTTCTCAGTGAAAAAGAGAAGAGTACATTAAAATTTTGTATGATATGACAAAACCAGTAAAATAGAGTCGCCTAGTTTTTACATTGCATTAAAAAAAAAAATCTTTTAGTATGCATGCATGTGGTAATTTCTTTTTGGATAGTCAATCACTTTAATGGTTAAAAAAATTCCCCACTACAATTATACAAGTTTAGTTATAAAGTGAAGATGCTTCTTATTTTGGGAAGTTTCGTTGATATTGTTGTATTCTGTTTACTGAATAATTTTTGGCATTTGAAGACAAAAACTAAGATAAAGTAACTTTTCTGAAGTTTCCGAGAAACTTTCATATGTTTGTCATATATATTCTTCCTAGCCCCACTAGTCGAACTCACTTGTATTTATTCGGTGTTGTTTGATCTTTTGGTAACAAAGAAAACGATATCTGCTTAAAAGTCATGTAAGTTTCAAAAAGATAATCTAAAAAATCATGTAACTATTGATTGTTGAGAATTACGGTGTTAATTATTATACGGGTGGAGGATAGTGAAGGCTTTGGCGCTGTCCATCTAATGACAGACGAAGACATGCATGGTCCATTGTCGAGCCAAAGGAAATCGATGATTATAGCCAAAGGAATGAAACCATGATTTAGGCAGTCGACACCATGATATGACTATTTGAGGGTGGTTGCCAAGTGCTCATTAGTGCGATCATAGTAAAGTGAGTTGGTTTTATTTAAGTTCTAACAAGAGTAAGCAATAAATATATGCTTGTTCGTTGAATGTCCTTTCTTTCATCACAACAAGGAGATTCACTTTCTTCTCAAATCAAAACTATAATTTTCTCTTTTCGAGATCAAAATCATGCACTCGATCTTCGAATCCCCGATCTAAGACATCACAACCGTGTATGCACATACTTATTGCGCATAAGGGTTTAGTGATATCCCAACAAAAGTTAGATCATAGTAGTTCATAATGTGATGGATTAAAATTGGTTCATAATCTGCATTTGATCTCCACCGCACTAGTTGAATTTGGAAATAAACATGATTTTGTGGATTGATTTAGAATTGCAGAATGTAGATTCAATGACTAAAGATTCCAACACTAACAACACCATAAAAGATAAGACACCGGTGAGATAACAACACCAAACTTATTGGTACTACAAGATTTGCCTAAAATAAATTACACATAACCTTATTAAATTCTTCTAAGATATATATTACACATGATATACATGGTTACTTAAAAGCTAAAATGATATAGATTATTTTAAAGCCTGAATAATATATTTAGAACTATAATTTTTGTAACTTATGTTTTAAAATTTATTTTATAATCAATAATAATCGGCTAGTAAGAAAACAAAATAAAAGATCAAATAGTTCCCACAAAGACAAACGACTTCAAGTCCTTAGAGGAGACTTCCCAAGTCAATCTGAGATTTTTTAAAAATGGTGGAAGTCCCACAATCAAAAAGTTTTATTCTTTTTCACAATAAAATATAATCGAACTAATTAGTTAAAATTAGAAGAAAAAAACAGAAGAAGAAAAAAGTGGAAAAAACAGAAGAACCAAGCTCTGGTCCAATTCTCATATGACCATTTCTAAATCTCTTGAGATAAAACCGCGTGGGTTCCATCCACTTTGATCAAGACCTTTCTCCTTTTCTTCTTCCAAGTAAACATCACAAACCTCTAAAAACTATGAAAGAAAATAAAACACATTAGAAAAAAATTTCACAAAAAGACTCTCAAAATTCAATATGTTAAATCATTCATGCCTCAACATATTATTATTTTCTCCCTTGACTTAGTCTGCTCCATCAAGTATTGCCCCACAAAGAAAATCTTTCACAACATATTCGGTCCTAGTTGTATATAAATGTGCATAGCTTCACCTAAGTGATAACCACCAACAACCTTTTCACTAACACAGCTTTTAAAAGAACCAAATCTTGATAAGTGTTTTTTTTTAGGGACAGTGAGAGATATGGGAAAAGAGATTGAGCTCCCAGGTTTTAGGTTCCACCCAACCGAGGAAGAACTTCTTGATTTCTACCTCAAGAACATGGTTTACGGGAAAAGATCGAGTGTTGAAGTCATTGGTTTCCTCAACATCTATCGTCATGATCCATGGGACTTACCTGGTAAGTACATGGCTTCTCCATTTCCCTAAAGCTTCTTTTTCCCTCTCTAGGATGTGTATTAAAAGTCTAAATTTTGATCACAGGTTTATCGAGAATCGGGGAGAGGGAGTGGTACTTCTTTGTGCCAAGGGAAAGGAAGCATGGGAATGGTGGGAGGCCGAGCAGGACAACTGAAAAAGGATATTGGAAAGCAACGGGATCGGATCGTAAAATCATAAGCTTGTCTGAGCCAAAACGTGTGATAGGGCTCAAGAAGACGCTTGTGTTCTATAGAGGAAGAGCACCAGGAGGAAGCAAGACTGATTGGGTGATGAACGAGTTTCGGATGCCCGATAATTGCTCCTTACCAAAGGTACCTGAATAAAAACAACATCTCTGTCTCCATTATGTGATCAGAAAAACAACTTTGTTACTCATCTTTGTGTCCTCTTTTGATCAGGATGTTGTCCTGTGTAAGATATATAGAAAGGCAACTTCATTGAAAGTATTGGAGCAAAGAGCAGAGATGGAAGCTAAGATGAATCAAACATGTCCAAACTCTCCTCTCTCGTCTTCCGAGACAATCTCATTCGTTGGAAAAGAAGAAAACATGATGACTTCTTTCCGTGTTCCTCAAGTGATAGCCATGGAAGATGCAAACAAGATCCTAACACTCCAAGAAAACGCGAAAACCGAAGAGAAACAAAGAGAAACAGAGACCAAAGAACCTTCTTCATCACTGAAGCTACCGTTTGGAAGCTTACCAGAGCTACAATTACCAAAAGCAGGAGGTGAATGGGGAGACCAATTGTTGAGTATAAGCCCATGGCTACAGAATCTTACACCAATAGTTAACCTATTAAATTGGTAGGATATGTAAAGAACAAATACATTAACCTATTCTTACTCTTAAGAAAAAACAGAGCTTGTACCAAATAGTATTTACTCAACTTATATGTATCTTTTGTAAGTTTGTAACATAATAAGAAATTACATGTAACACTGTTTATAGTCATATTTGACTACACCATTGTAAAAAAAAAAACTAAACTTTGAATCAAGTGGACGATCATTTCTCTCAAGCATACCAAGATAGATGTTGAGATTATCATTACATATGTGGAATCAATGGACGTAGCTCTTGTCTTGGTCTGCAAAAGGATCGTGTCTTGGCCTTACACTGGCTTAGTGGGACCTTGGAAGGGATGATCCCACCGTTGACCTGACCGTAGACCCATTAATTTCTTCATCGTCTTATGCGTAATTTGCTCAATGTGGATGACTCACTCGCCAAGATCCTTGTCCTGCTTCCATCCGAATTAAGCTGATCTTTGACGGTTTTCTTGGCGACTGACCGAGAAACAGGGGACCTAAACCCTAGAGGCAGAGTGTTAAATTTTCTTTTCTTTTTTCATTTTTTCATTGGGTTTTCTTTCAGGTTACATAATGCGCACAAGGATGGTGGAAACTAAAGTTTAATCATTCCTATAATCATTTTTATTTGCATTTCATAATGTGGATTGGATCAAGAAATTTCTCCAAGAAGATATCCAACAAAGTACAAGAGTCTTTGACGGTTGCACAAGCCGAAGATAACAACAATGAAGTTTTGGTTGTCTTTGAACAAGCAGAAGCTATTTATAATTGCTCTGTTTGATTCTCTATTTAGCTACATGTTTGGACCATAGAATTTTAGCAGATGGTCAGTCGTCTCAAAGCTAATGAAGAAGAAGAAAATTACATGTGAAGCGCAAGCAAACATATTCTCAAGGGTTGACTCCGAATTCCAATCCAAGAAGACCTTGACGATGGAGGAGGCTCAGATCGTAGAGTCATGCATTCAAAATTTTGGAGATGGACTTGAGTCACTTTCAAAGTCAGTGATCAAGAGTCTCAATAGTTATCAGCTTAGGCCTCTAAAACCCTATAAACTTGTTGAAAAGTTCATAAATATAATTACTTGTAATCCTTGTTTGAAAAATCGCTAGGCGCTAGTCGGGCATTCGGTATGGGCCTAGCGATTAATCGGAAAATCGGATTAAAATCGGTGATTAATCGAGGATTAGTTTTAGGGTTATTTTAATATTTTAAAAATATATTAATCTAATACTCTTTCCAAAATTGTAGTAAATACATACAAATATATTTAAGGCAAAATTTTATGATTTTTTATTAAAAATTTATGATTTTTATTAAAATTTGAACATAAATTATTGTAAAATATCACAAACTTCCAATTCAAATGTTTGAATAACAAAAAAAAAAGTTGTTTTATACTTGCAATGAAAAAATAATCGGGATATGTAAGAATAGGCGGAAAATAATCGGATTAGGTGGGAATTAATCGGATAAAACAGAGAGTAATCGGGTGACTGATTTTTTAAGGGATTAGTCATTAATCGAGGCGGAGAGGGTGGGCCTAACGATTAAGCGGGGATTAATCGGGGTAGGTGGGGATTTTTAGAACAGGGGTTGTAATAGAGGAGCATAGATATAATGACTACAAGATTTTCTCATATAACTCTGTTCTTGTGATATAAATCTTTTTTCATGAATGATCATTAAAGAACCAAAATGCATTTCTAGATTTGCAGAAAGTTGAGACAACTTTTTACCCTCAAGTTTCACTCTTTTATCTTTGGCCGTGAAACATTTTCTTTTACGGCAGCGAACGATAACTTTTAATTACTTGTTTGACATATCATGTGGCATCTCTGAACCTCCACACGGTTGTATGAAATAAAAAATATATCCTCACAAAATGTGTTAAGTAATCCATTGTGGATTTGTTAACATGCCATGATCTACGAATACGGATCTTGCCGCTACTTCATCCAAACCACCATTATAATCATTGTCCAAATAGGCTTTCTTTTGATTTGTATAATCATATGCAAACGTGTAAGCTATTGGAAACAGCTTACCACACGGAGAGACTTACACATATTGCACATTCTACTCTGAAACTTCACAGAGAAAAATATAATTTAGTTCCTTAAATATAGGCATGAGATTTACACGAGTGACATGGCCTTCAATAGCAGACAAGCCAGCTTTGAAGATATATCATTGCAATATTTTTAACCACCAAGAGATTCTTTCTGTCTATCTTGCTTGTGGTGTATATAAGTATTGACCGGAGAGGCATTGAGAAGGCAGAACAAACATTTTTAGCGCTCTCAAAATCTTCTCTTTGATAAAGAAACAAAGAACTTAAGATACACAAAAATGGCAGTCTCTTTCCACGTTCGCTCTAACAGTTTCCCTTCTAGACCTCACCCACAAGCCACACATGTCGATGAGCAGTTGGCTCGATTAAGATCTTCTGAGGATGCCTCGACATCTTCTAGCTCTTATATCTGCAATAGACTTGAAAACCTTCAAGAGCTACATGAGTCTCTTGACAAGTTTATTCGCCTACCTGTAACACAACAAGCTCTAGGTCAAGAGCAGAACAAGAAAGCCGTCGAGCAACTTCTTGATGGATCTTTAAGGATCTTGGATTTGTGCAACATTTCCAAGGATGCTTTGTCACAGATGAAAGAGGGTCTCATGGAGATCCAATCGATTCTACGAAGAAAGCGCGGTGACCTACCGGGAGAGGTCAAGAAATACTTAGCCTCAAGAAGATCCCTAAAGAAGTCATTCCAAAAGGTCCTCAAGAGTTTGAAGGTCAAACAAGACCAAGAGTGCGGCGACAAATCCTTGGCAGTGTTTGGAGAAGCAGAAGATGTGACAATTGCTCTGTTTGATTCTCTGTTTTGCTTCATGTCTGGATCAAAGACTTGTAGCAAATGGTCTGTCGTCTCAAAGCTAATGAACAAGAAGAAAGTTACATGTGAAGCTCAAGGAAACGAATTCACAAGGGTTGATTCCGAATTCCAATCCGAAAAGACATTGAAGATGGAAGATGTTCAGATCTTAGATTCATGCATTCAAGATCTTGAAGATGGACTTGAATCTCTCTCTAAGTCTTTGATCAAATACAGAGTCTCAATTCTTAACATCTTAGGCCACTAATGCCTACAAAATTTTGTACAAAAAGAAACTATTAATAGAAATATATTCAAGTCTCAATTCTAAGCATCTTATTTCTCATATCTTTGAATCCTTAATCATCCTAGAAACAAGAAATCAGACAATTTTCAAATGAACTCTTCATTCAACAGTTTAAACTTCATGGTAAAACAAATTTTCGTTAATAAGAAAAATTGTTTATATCAAAAAAAAAAAGAAACATTGTTTACTTAGAATTCAGTCATTCACACGTTATCAAGAATAAAATAACTCTGTCCATGTCTATATAGTGGGGAACAATGTAAATGGCACAACAAGAGAATCAACAAAGAACCATTGAAGTCTCCGTGTGCATTCACATGTCTATATCCTAGTTTTCAATTTGTCTTGCATTTTGAATATTTGATAATTGTAAGTATCGGTGGGACTCTATGAAGACGTGTTATATATGGAAAACATTGGAAAAAAATCCTAGAAACTAATGTTAAAAGGATCCTAGAAACTCAATTAATACAAGATTTTCTGATATTATGATCACTTTCCATTCTTTCCCATTAAAGAAACAAATCCTTTCAAACATCTTTTGGCACAGATTAATCTTTAGATGGTGAACCATAATTTTTTTATATTTTTTTAATACAAAGGAAACAAACTTGTTTGGCGTATTCATGTTTAATTAATCTCTATATCTGAACTTCCATATGATTTGTTCACATGCCTTTATCTACGGATTTGCGTGTGAGATCATATGGCGAGCTCATCGATCTATCAGTATTTGAAAAGGAAGATTAAATAGAGAGTAACATTTTTTTTTTTTTTTGTCAAACGAGCGTAACATTATCTTTTTACATTGAATCATATAACATGTTTGCTGGATAAGTTGCAGCATTTTCAACGTGATTAATACTTGAGATTCACATTCTTGATCAGCATTGTCTATGGCATGTCTTTTGGCACATTGTATTCTTGAATTTCACATGAAATGTGAAATGCTGACGAGGCGAATAAATTACTTCATAAAATCTTGAGAGATAAGGATGAGATCTGCACGAATGGTATGAGACCTTCAATAGCAGACAAGCCAGCTCTCTTTTAATTTTATCCATTAAATAAGCACTCATGCAACAAAGCGCATCTCAAGAAATTTGAGCGTTGGACTGTGTTAAGTTTCATTGGCTTCCAACTCAAAACTAATTGACAATAAGTGGATTGGCCCAAGTCCATTATATACTACTCAAGTCCCTTCCCATCTTTTCAATGTGGGATCTTTGTCCACACGTCCCCTCGAGATAATGGCTCTTCTAGCCATTAATCTCGACAAAATCCATCACATCCCATCGAGCTAATGCTCTTCTACCTATCTCGACAGAATTGAGCATTCATTTGGACCATCAATTAGTGGGGGTGATCGGGCCACTCTCCGGGCCGGATTAATGGGTCAGCGTATGGATCGGGCTCTGATACCATGTTACGTTTCATGGGCTTTCAACTCAAAACCAATTGGCAATGAGTGGATTGGCCCAAGTCCCTTATATACTACTCAAGTCCCTTCCATCTTTCCAATGTGGGATCTTTCTCCACAGACTGTGAATGTGAGGGACTGTTGGCAAGAGACAAATGATGTGGCAGAAATCTTTGACTTTTTATATTAGATGAGGTGCCTTTTGCCACCTTTGGTAGGAGAACTTTGCATTAAAAATTCAATTGTTTAACCTCATAACACACTTTCCAAATGGTGTATATAAGTATTGACCGGAGAGGCATTGAGAAGGCAAAACAAAATCTCTCTCAACCTCTTCTCATTTATCAATAAGAAAGAAATTTAGATTTAAAAAAAAAAATGGCTCTCCACTTACATGTTCGCTCTAACAGCTATCCCTCAAGACTTCACCCTCAAGCTGCTCATGTCGATGAGCAGTTGGCTCGTTTGAGATCTTTTGAGGAAGCCTGATGTAGCAAGATATTTGGAAATATTCTAAATATCATTTATTATTATACTTTATTTAGTTAACTAATTTTATTCTAGAATATTCTATGTTTTAGGGTTTTGAGCTTTTATTATAAATAGCCGTCTTAGGCTTCTTGTATTACTTGGTTGTTTTTGATTAATAAAATCTTTTGATAAGCACTGAGAAAAGTATTCTCAAACGAAGTCTTTGAAGTCTTTGTTTATCGTGAATCCATTGATCTCCGATAACAATAGAATTCCGAGCTACGATTGTCTTGCTTGAGATCCATTGATACTCAAGATTACTTTCGTAATCTATCCCGCTGCAACAGTTGGTATCAGAGCCGAATCGGTTCTTTGTTTATCATGTCGCTTGGGTGTCTCTATCACACGGATGAATATCCGTTTACTTTTACAGAAGACTTGTATGAAGAGTACAAGGAAATTATTGGTGATCCAATTTTCGACGTATACAATGATGAAGATCTAATTCACGAAGATAAAGATCTAACTCATGATGTATACGATGCATATATTGAAGAACTCATCTACGTTCAAAGGATGAAGGTGATGAGACGTGTTGTTAATCAAATTATCTTCACATCCATGAAAGATCCCCATTTAATTCATCAAGCCGATGACATGGACGTGGAGAAGCATACAAGGGTTTGGGCTTCTTTTGTTAAAGCAGTCCCAATAAAAATACCTCCTCATGACGTGAGGGAGCCTATGATTCGAGACCATCAACGACTCAACATAGCACTCATGGCATATTTCGGTTGGAAAATTAATGATTTTGGCGAGAGGCAAAATTATATATTCACGTTTGAAGGATTTTATCAATGGAGAAAAAGAAAGAAAAGATGGAAGCAACAAAGGGTGTTAAGATTCGAGGACGAATCTTTTTCTACCCCGAGTGACCTGATGTAGCAAGATATTTGGAAATATTCTAAATATCATTTATTATTATACTTTATTTAGTTAACTAATTTTATTCTAGAATATTCTATGTTTTAGGGTTTTGAGCTTTTATTATAAATAGCCGTCTTAGAGCATCATTATTGATGGACTCTTAACTTTTGCTCTTAACATTATTTAAAATTAAAATTTTGCTTTTTGAAAGCTAAGATACAAAGAGAATATCTTAACAAAAATGTTCTCCAATGGTTGGTTCTTAAGAAAAAAATTTCAAATTTTTGCAAAACAATATTTTCCAATACAAACATTCATACAACCAAACTCATACAAGCTTTGATATCTATCACTTTCACTAAACATGTCTCTTGCATGCTGTTTCTTTTTTGCAAACTGTCATCAGAGAAATCCTTGAAATGTTGCCAAGAACATTCATCATTATTGCACCTTCCACGTAACTCGTACATGCAGAGAGGCCAAGAAGGGTCCACCTTCAAATAAAAGGTGTAGAAGCCAATTTTTTTCTCATATACTATAGTTTCAGTCAAGCTCCTACATTATCTTTTATCACTATATAGGCTATATGACTTGTTTTGAAGTGTATATTCTGGTCCCAGAGACGTAATTGAAGACCCTGGTACTTTCAGATGATAGATTGTGCTCCGAAATAAAGGACCTGACAAAGCTACAGACGATAAAAGGTCATTCTCTGGTGAACTCCTATGGGACTCCATATCTATAGATGACTGAAATTCCTCCATTGAGCTTCAACACAAAACCATGTGAGGTTTTTGAGACACATAAAGACAATTGACAAAAAGATTCAAGCTTTAACACACAACTCACATTCAAACAGAGATTCAATTTGACAAAAAAACTATAAACTTTGGTTCTAACAAACCAACGAGGCATTAAACCAGAATGATTAAAGTTCATAGGTGTTGACTAACCTGAATAATTAACTGCACATCATTGATATATCTAGACCACGAGCAGCAACATTTGTAGCCACCAATGTAGAAAACTTGCCATTCCTAAATCCAGCAAGAGTAACCTATAATCACATTCGCAGCCAAACAGAACCTGCAACCAAAATCAACCATAAACTGAGTCTTATTCCTAGTCATTGGATAACATCATTTTAGTTTAAACAACTTCCACAGCTAATTACAAGAATAGAAACTTCCACAACTTCCACAACTCAATCATAGATACAATGCTCCATAGAAATAAAACCATAATTACTATGTCATCACAGTGAATTATATCTCACAAAAGAAAGAACAAAGTAAATTCAGAAAAGCAACTATATCAAAAATATAAGGAAGGAAGAATCTGGCACCTTTTGGATCAACTTCACGAGAGATCTTAATGGCATCAGATGTAGCAAGATCCTGATTTGCAGGGGAAATAGCTAGTATGATGCAGTTGGGCTGTCAAAAGCCCAAACCTGACCACCGACGACGGCAATGAGTCCCACAGAGTTGGGAGGGACTTTCCCTAGCCGTAATCTCCCAGAGCTGTACAAGCTCTCTGAATCTTGTTCACAAGCGCAATCAAAATCTCCATAACAAAATCAAACATAATCAGCTCCGATTACTCAACGGCGGAATCAATATTCCGGAAGTCTCTGGAAGAGAATCAACAGACTTCTCCTTCCAAACAGACCAAATTAAAAATCGAAAGCCTCCATGGTTCGCGTGAAAGAGAGAGAGAGGGGAGGAGAAGAGAGAGAGGGAAAGGAGTAGAATAAAAGTTTGACACGTGTACGTCTCTTAGGTGAATAAAAGCCTCTTAGTTAAGGAACGTTGTTAAGTGTTAAAGGAGAAAATTCAATAAATTTAATCACTTTTATTCCTAAAATTTTCTTAAGATCTACCTAACATACTCCCGTTAATGATGCTCTTAGGCTTCTTGTATTACTTGGTTGTTTTTGATTAATAAAATTAAAGAGCTTTTGATAAGCACTGAGAAGAGTATTCTCAAACGAAGTCTTTGATGTCTTTGTTTATCGTGAATCCATTGATCTTCGATAACAATAGAATTCCGAGCTACGATTGTCTTGCTTGAGATCCATTGATACTCAAGATTACTTTCGTAATCTATCCCGCTGCAACAAAGCCTCAACATCTTCCAGCTCTTCCCTCTGCCAAAAACTTGATAACCTTCAGGATCTACACGAGTCTCTTGACAAGCTTATTCATCTACCTGTCACACAACATGCTCTAGCTCAAGAGCAGAACAAGAAAGCCGTGGAGCAGATTCTTGAAGAATCTATCAGGATCTTGGATTTGTGCAACATTTCCAAGGATACTTTGTCGTAGATGAAAGAGGGTCTCATGGAGATCCAATCAATTCTTCGAAGAAAGCGTGGAGATCTATCTGGAGAGGTCAAGAAATACTTAACCTCGAGAAGATCCATCAAGAAGTCATTCCAAAAGGTCCTAAAGCGCTTGAAGATCAAACAAGACCAAGAATGCAACGACGAATCTTTGGCAGTTTTTGGAGAAGCTGAAGCTATTACAATGACCCTTTTTGATTCTTTGTTCTCCATCATGTCTGGATCAAAGGCTTGTGGCAAATGGTCATTGGTCTCAAAGCTAATGAACCAGAAAAATATCTCATGTAAAGCAGAGGAAAATGAATTCACAAGGGTGGACTCCAAATTTCAATCCGAAAAGACTTAAAAAATGGAGGATGTTCAGATCCTAGAGTCATGCATTCAAGATCTTGAAGATGGACTTGAATCACTCTCTAAGTCTTTGATCAAATACAGAGTTTCAATTCTTAACATCTTGGGCAATTAATGCCTAGAAATTTTGTACACATGAAAGAAAAGTTAATAGAACCTAATTCAAGATTTCTCATATGAATTTGCGTTATCCATGCTTAATTGAATCTATTATAATGCAAGAACAAGTTTAGTCCAGAATCAAGAAAAAAACAGTAATTTAAACAACAAATCTACCATTGGCTAGTGAATAATCCCAAATTTTGCAGTTTAAGCTTCCTACTGTAACAAGTCACGTTGTTAGCATGAATGAGTCCACCAAACTTAAGTCCCAAGATTGCTCATAATTATAAGATTATCATGTCTGAATCATGAATTAGGACTTTTTCTGTATTGGATTCTTGACCAAGCAAATATACGAAATTTGTTATTCCGGTAGCATTTTAATCATTTAAAAAATATATAGCAAATGAAAATGAAAACAAAGCAAATATGTTATTACTTCTCTGTTTTAACTTTTGTATTTTTGTTTTTGACAAAGACCAACTATATCAAGGGTCAACAAAATATTAAACCACAGATGAAAAGATAATGCAAGATCTGGCATTGAAGACTAATTAATTAGTTCTCTTTCATCTGACTCAAACTAATGCCAAAAATACCCTTTTCACATTTATACGGTAACAAAACAAAATATCAAGATAAAGAGTTTAGCTAATTGATTAGCATGATACATATTATTTTATGTTGATATAGCTTTGAATAACATGTTTTTATTAAACATTAACACGGTAAAAACTATTCATCCGACGTCGGAAACACTTATTCATCACTAGTAGCAAAAAGGAGACATTAATTTTTTGTATTTATTTAATTGATCAACAATGTGAATTATATTATATCGCTATAAGTTATAAGTTATGTGATAAATTCATATTTATCGTGTTAAATCATTTATTATTTGATTGGTATCGGTTAACTTATGTATTAACATGTTTATTTACTCTAATAATCTAGTTATTACCGTTAACTTATACATTAGCATTATTTCTTTATTCTGATAACCTAGTTATCACGTTTAACTTATATGTTAGCATTTTTATATACGATGCTAATTAAATTGTTAGTTACAAAGCAAAATTAAACCCAAAAAAATACGACAATCCCGACGAAACCCATTTCTCTCTTGATCGACCTCATCAAAATCCCAATTGTCAAATTCATCATTGCACAATTATGACGGGATTCGAAACGAGCAACTTGATTTACAACCATCGCATCATGGCCGCAGCTTTCACGAAATCAAAATTGAAACCACCATTGTTGATCGTCTTTCTCTGCCACAAAATCAAATCGAACATTCTCACTTCGACACGCAACTGTCACCAGGAAAAATACAACAATCGTCGTTGCCGTTGACGATATCATTCCCCTCTTTTATGTTTCGTCTTTGTCAATCAATACCATCACTGTCACAAGTGAACCACACAGTTCACCGGTTTGCTTTTGCGGACAAATTTTGTTTTTAGTGGGTTTTTTTTTCTGAATTCATTTTCATCTTGCCGTCGTGCAATTGTGGTATCATGAAAATGGTACATATATATAGAGAACTAAAGAGAAGTAAAAGAGAGGAATAAAAAGAAGAGAAACATTAGTTGATAGTTAAAGATATTATTTTCATTTACATATGTATACAGTAGAGTCAAAAATAGGGAGGAGAGAGAACTAATTTATGGATTGTCTGTGGTCAAGTTTTATAAATACCCACTATATCAACTAAACATCCAAAACATAGACTATACATGTCTATGCATGTCAACTATTTTACGCACTTTTTTATGTAATTGTTTGACGAACTACGAGCAAGCTCCATATGAACAATCATGCCATTTGAATTAGCAAAATTTTCAGATTCTATGTTCTTGTTTCTTGGAACGTATTTGTTCTTTCATGGTAAATGATGCATATACAAAAAAATGAATGAGACAGTGATAACACAGTAAAATAAACGAATAAATCTTGTATTCATTTCTATGGATATTTGTTTTATGTACAAAAGTATTTACGGCTCAGTGGCCTAAGCTGTTTAGAGCGAAGAGAGATTCAATCCCATCTTCAACATGAATGCATGACTCTAGGATCTGAAAATCCTCCATCTTCGAACTCTTCTCGTACTGAAATTCGGAATCAATCCTAGTGAATTCGTTTGTTTGTGCTTCACATGAGGCCTCTTCTTGTTCATTAACTTTGATACCAATGACCATTTGTCTCATACTTTTGATCCATACATGTAGACGAACAGAGAATCAAAGACAGCTAGCCAACGATATTTGTCGTTGTACTCTTGGTCTTGTACGACTACTTTAAGAGTTTTTTAACCTTTTGGAATGATTTCTTGATGAATCTTCTTAAGGCTAATTATTTCTTCATGCCCCCGAAACATCTCCACGCTTTCTTTTACGAATCGATTGGATCTATTTAAGACCCTCTATCATCTGCGGAAAAGCATCTTGGAAATTTACACAACTCCAAGATCCTTAGTGATCCATCAAGTAGCTGCTCGACAAGTTTATTGTTATGTTCTTGAGCTAGAAGATAACTGGTAGCTTGATAAGCTTGTCAAGAGACTCATGTAGCTCTTGAAGGTTGTCAAGTCTTTGGCAGATAGACAAACTTAATCGAGCCAACTGTTCATCGACATGAGCAGATTGTATTTTTGGTTTTATATCTAAAATCAAGAGAAGATTGTTTCTTATGCATTTGTTGCTTCTCTCGTCTCTACATATATACAGTCATCGATTATGGGAAACATGTGGATTCTCATTTTGATAATAGAGAGCGATGTTTGTGCAATGTCTCCCTCCAAACATCTTCCATGCCTCATCCTCGATAAGAATAACATATATGGTTCAGATTTGTTCACATGAATTGTCCTCTAAAATAATATAGCCACCCGAACGATTCTGCATCTCATCCAACTTGGCTTGTCTCATTTGCAGGGCATTATTGCACTGGAATTGATGCACACATACATGTGCATTCCGGATCTTGTCTGCCTCCTTCACTCCAAAAATTATGATTTCTCGGAATTTTCTTATGGACTCATGTGGTTTTTAGATTGAAATAAGCTGTTATTATCTTCTCCAATGAGACAAGCCGTAGTGGATTTTGCATGTGAAGTTTGGGAAAAAGGGTAACATTGCATAAACATCGCAGTTTCATAATCCAAACGTTTAATAAGAAAGATTGCAAATGATGATATATTTCTCATGGTATATATGTATTGACCAAAACGGTTGATGTAGCATCTTGAGTTCATCTAAGGTCTTTTGTTGATCACAAAAATAGAGAGGGAAAAAACAGAAAATGTTGGCAATCACTCACACGTTAGAGGAAGAATGTCGTGGTGTCGTATAATTTGATGGATCCTTCATGATATGGATTTATGCTACATCGCGAAAGAATGCTTCGAGATGAGAGAGGGTCTCTTAGTGCCTCTAAAAGAAGAAAGTGAGGTGAAGAGAAGTATTTGAAGTTTTGAAAGAACAGAAAGAGCAACATATTAAAGTCATTGATCTTTGAGCTGGTGAACCAGGGAGAGTTTTATTTCAATGAAAACCCGCAGAAACAAACAGTTATGCTCTACGTTTCAATCTTTTCCTCTTTGAAAACGGAGCATTTTCAGATCTTAGAATCAAGCCCTCAAGATCTTGAATATGGCTCAAAAAATAGATGATGCATGTGTGTGAA